CACACTGTCTGCTAATCGATTTTTATCGGTGGAACATCGACCGAAATAGTGAGTCACGTTAGTTTTCGTTTCCGCATTTTCATCGAATTTTCTCCCCCGGTACGGCGTTGCTGTTGTTTGTGTTCGTATTTCGGATGAAAGACTGGCGGCAGTAAACACATCTTTGACACGCAAAAACATTAAGCATCTCGTTCGCGCGTTCCATCTCGCTCTCGCACTCTCTGAGTTTACGTACTCTCTTTCACTCACTCGCAATTATTGTACGGCTGTTACACACGAGAGAAGCAACACACGAAAACAAACACACAACGTAAAAATCAATAAAAATACATTTCTCGTAGTTAGTGTCGATTCTCGCGTAAGGAACCGCATCGTTTTCGTTCGTCGTCCATTCATTCGGTGTGTTGTGTCTTGCTTCTCGCGCGCGTCGTCGTCGTTCATTGATGGAAACCATTTTCGACAGCCGAATCGTCTACTAATTTCGATTGTCGTTGCTAAAATCATATAGACACTTTTTATGGGTGCATTGGTGTAATGCTACTAGACACGCTGCCATACACAAGCGCATACATGGTACAGTAATCAAGAGATGAATGCGATCGTCTCACTCACTCTATTGCTGCTCTCCATCCGTTCGGCTGGAACTATGGAAAAATGCATATATATATATAGTTCCGAGTACAATGCCTGTGGCTTGGAATAGTGCACATGCGCTGGGCACACCACCAACCAATTTCATCATTACTATTATCATTCTGATTATTAAAATGAAGGGTAGAAGGAATATTCTTATGTGCTGCTGCTGCTTCTGCTGCTGCACACAATCAGAATCTTGCGTTACATTACCATGCACAGCATCCACCGACCGAATATATAATATCGAATATTGTGTAGCCGTTCAACGTGTGCTGAAACCAACACACAATCGCCTCGGTATAATTTTTTATGTAAATTGAAGCCATTAGGGGTTTTCTCTCTCTCTCCTTTGTTTCATGCTATATTTGCCTATGCACAATGGTGTGAGTTGTATTTAATGCTCATTCACCATACACATGCACAACCAATCGCTCCCTCACACATACATACACCACAATGACACTTATATCTTGAAATGAGAAATATCCATTCCGAATGCCAAATTGGAATTGGCAAGTGATAGGGCGCTTGTGTGCAGAGAGAAATTAAAAGTTCGTTTTCGCCACGACATTTACATTAGTCACAAGGTGTGCCATTTTCACATCTAAATACTTGCGTAATTACGATGAATGCAGTCAGCTACATAAGCACGCACACATACACACACACTCTCATTCCGCAAGATGTTGCCATCAATTTAAGTAAAGCACCCTTGACGAATTCAGCCCGATTCACATTCCATTGTGTATTTAAATTCGACACTTATCAACATATAAAATGGAATGGAATCGTGTTCGTGTTGAATAAATGCCAAAAATAACGATATGAAACGTATACTTTAAGTAAATAATTTCCTTCAAAAAATATTTTTTTCGTTTTCTTTCGATATTTATATTCAGCGAAAAATATTTCGAGTTATCTAAAGATATATCAAATTCACTCTTGAAGCATACACACACACATACGATTCGCATGGAATAGAAACGAGCGTGTAGACTGAAAACGTGTGCGAATATTGATTTCATTGCGCATTTATTCTAATGATACGATGATGTATGGCTATAGCATTACATTGCAAAAAGTGATTCGCTTCGGCCGCTGGAGCGCAACAGTCATCCTCATTGCTTGTCTCATCTCGCAACAGTTTATATGGACAAAGACCTTTTTTTTCGTATGGAATGCGTCAACAACGGTGTTTAATATTTCCTTTGTTAATTTAATTCTCGCTTTGATGCAAGCATTAAGGCGAAATGGTCGAGATGCCACTAATGCAATGTCATTTTTCATCGTCTCATTATTTCATTGGAATATGTGCATAATGGCTCTGCTGCCAGCCACTTTATTTACCAATCTCATTTGAAATCAAATGGAATTTGATGAATGCATGAATTGACATGATATCCATTTTTATTCAACGCAAAAAAAAAGTGTGGTGATTTTGCCTTTTCGTCGAGTCGCATCAGACTTTTGTGTGTGTGTGTGTGTTTAGCACAATAAGAAGTATGATTGAAATGGAATAAAGTGTTAGTTTGCCACATTTTATGCTTTTCATTAGAAAGCGTCAAATAAAAATGAAGCCGAATAAAGAAACAACAAATGGCGAAACAATGAACTAGAGCAAAAAATGGAATATGCTACATCAAAGATGTTGCGAGCACGTAACACGAGCGGCTCGTTTGCAACAAAAATCATTTTGTAATTGCTACACTTTTTGGAATCCTCCACCGGAATACAAATGCCTGTTTGTGAAATACCCCAAGGGCCAAAGAAAATATTGTTTCGAAATCATCGGGTGCGCTTCTTTACTTCTCACCACACTCGAGAAGAAAACAACACGTGAACACTGGCTCGTTCAAAGTCCTTCTAATGCCCTGTGTGTGAGTGTGTGTGTGTGTTTTTCGTATCTCATTTTTTGCCGAAACAAAAATAGTCAACACCGAAATAATAAATGGACGTGGGTTATTTTTCCAGTCGCCTCGTAACAAGGGATGCTGCTCCACACAGTCACCGTGTATAAAACTGAAAACGGACAACTGTGGAAATTGGAACATGTAAAACATGAACTTTGTGTATTCGATATTTTACAAAATAATGTGACATTTTCGGTTATTATATGAGATTTAATGTGTATCCAATTCGGCTTTCTTTGAGGTCATTAAATCGGCATTTACACGATAACACCGGCTGAATGCACAAAACATCACAAGTCAACATGTACAACAATATTGGAAAAATGTTTCGGAGCTCATAATCAACCCTCAAATTAAGGCGTTGTCGATGATGTTTTTAAACTTTGTAGGAAAAAAAATAAATTCTCATGCCAATTTCCGTTTGTGTTCTTACTCATATGCACTCTGGATTCTTGATCATAATTACACATTGGCAATAATACACACTCACATAGGCGATTCCAATCAAACTAAGTCATTAGCATCTTATGAAGATTGAGTTTCACGTTATTGCAGATTAATATCAGTCTCGATTTTATAGCATTTTTATGGTTTTCATTCGAAGGAAAAGAATCAAAACATCCAAAAGACTTCAGAATACAATTATTATCAGCATAAAGATGAAGAGTTTTCTTTTCTTCGACAGTGCGGCAAATAAGATTTATAATTTTATTGTCTGCTGAAATCGAATTGGATATAAATAAAATAAGCGAAATAAAATTTATTCTTGCATACAACAAATGATACTAACTCGTTTTTTTTTTAATTCGCCGGCCAAAGAAGAATATAAACTGAGAATAATGATGTAACGTGTAATTATGGACACAGATCATGCTAAACAAATAATATCAAGCAATTTAACGGCCACTGAATAACATCGGAACGAATGCAACGCAATGAAACTCTTGGCGCATACACACATTCAATCGCTACCCGTCTTACGTGTTGAAATGGCTATTTAATGTTTAATTTACTCGGTTTCAGATAGCAAATGTGAGTTATTCTTGTTTTGTTGCTTTGCCATTTTGAATTCAGATTCAATATGAAGTTTCATCATTGTTTTGAGTTTGAGATTAGTCGAATTGAATTTTCATGTAATTTGGGAATTATCAATCGAATCGATTGAGATGCTCTTTGTGTAGTCTTCATTTGAGGGAAAAATACGACTTTTCGATCTAAGCTATGTAATTCTTGGTTGATTCCAACAAGAACTTTTTTTTAATTGAATGTAATAAGGAAAAAATAATCGAAAATTTTAGAATTTCGAAAAACCTCTCATTTAAGGAAAAAAAGAAAAAAGAAAACCAAAAATTGAAGAAAATCAAAAAAAACCTTTTGGTTTTTCCTTCAAACAACCATACAATTCTATGTGCAAGCCTCCAGCGGTGTCCCCTTTCGTTTGGCAAAGGCAGACATACACACCAGAGGCAACTCAATATTTCTGCATCATCCATCCATTGCCAGACCTGGAAGAGAAGGAACAAAGGCAATCAATCAAGCAATTTTACCAACGAATCTCACTTACCTCGTACTTACGTGCGGATTCGAACCTGCGACCCTTTGATTACTAAACACACTACTTAACCACTTGACCATTGCGCGGTCAGTTTGTAGTGCGCTCTATTTTTGACCGTCAATAGATTGTGTGGTGACGAAACGCTCATTTCCGTTGATGCTGTTGTACGTTTGCATATTATTGTTGTTGTTGCTGTCGATAGCACCGATATTTATAATATTTGATTGAATATTGCGTACACCGTACAAACTGCATATTTTTCTATTTGCAATCTGAATTTTGATTCTCGTCCCTGTCTGTAATTGGAATTAGGTTCTTCTTGTGATTAGTCAATGCTCTGAATGAGAATATTTTCGCATCAAGGTTAATCACACTGAATCTAATAGTTTGAGCATTAAAATCCTATCTTTCAAATTAACTAAAGTCTATGAGCACTTGAAATGGACATAAAAGAATCAATAACATTGCTTCATTTCATGAAATGTGTTGAAAAATGCCTAACACAAGACAATGCATGTAATTGGCAACGATAAACATGTTTTACATACAAAATTCATGTCGAATTCAACACGGCAATCGTGGCAATATAATTTATAACAAAAAGATAGAATAACTATCGCATAATTCTTTGCACAATGCATTTTTTGCTACATTATAATTCACAAACTCAAACGTGATCCAGCCAAATGCTAGAAGAACCACATTTCTAGGTTGATATTGTTATTCTACTGATTTCGATGTTCAAATCCGATTTTCATCGTATTCAATAAAATCACCAATGTTTCAGTTGTTGGTTCAATTTTCTGATATAAAATTGGTCAACCGCCATAAGATGGCGTTGTGTTCCTTCAAACATTAACGATTTGACAACACATGCGGCTGTCAATGGAGTATATCATGTGGTATTCTCTGTTTACACTTATAACAAACGTGTTGATATAAGGCCGCTACTCTGCGTTTATGTGATTTCTTTGATTTTTGAAGCGAATTCGAAGACGGAAGCTAGAAGTTTTTCCTCAAGAGATATAAATTAGGCAAAATATCAAAATGGTAATTTATAAAATCTTGTATTTTAAAAAGGATTCCCAAAAAAAACTTGTGTTTTCATCGTGATTCTAACCTAAAAATATGCTTTGTTTTGATCAAAGGGAAAGAAGCAGTGTAAGGTGAATTCGAAACAGAGGAAGGCGCAATTGAATCGTATGATCAAACCGACAGATTCCCGACTCAAAGCAAAAGATCGTGCACCACCGAAAAAGAAGCCACTCGACCCACAAGAGTTGAAAATAACCGAAGCTCCACAACAATCGTCAGCACTCTTTTTCCAATACAACACACAACTAGGTCCACCATATCACATTTTGGTCGATACCAATTTCGTGCATTATAGTATCAAAAACAAATTGGATATTATTAAAAATATGATGGACTGTTTGTATGCCAAGTGCATACCATATATTACCGATTGTGTGATGGCCGAATTGGAAAAAATGGGCCAAAAGTATAAGATGGCATTGAAAATTGTGAAAGATCCACGGTTCCAGAGAATAACCTGCATGCACAAAGGCACATATGCCGATGACTGTATTGTGAATCGTATCACACAGCACAAGTGCTACATCGTGGCAACCAATGACAGAGATTTGAAGAATCGAATTCGCAAAATTCCAGGTAATTTGAAATGTTCAGGCAAAACTATGAGTCACTTCAGTTTCACTAGACCAAAATCGGCTTTAGGAACGAAAAAACTGAAAATTCTAAAAAAAATCAATCGAATTAACGCAAATCCTTCTTCTTTTTACCAAGGTGTTCCTGTCATGTACGTTTCTCAGCACAAGTACACCATTGAGCGAATGCCGGACGCCTACGGAGCACCGAAGAATTAAAACCCATAACTTTAAATCGAAATCGATTTTATTCAATTCGTCATTTTGTTATTTTATAATATTTGAATTAAAAATAAATGGAAATTTATTCATACACAAAAAAAATCATGAAAATTGATGTGATTTATGCGTCGATTTCGCCTAAATAAAGATTCTTGTCGCTTGATCCAGACAGGACGATTGGTTCGTTGGGATGGAAATCGACATCGTTGACGCTGCCATTGTGACCAGGGAGTTTGTACAAAATGCGACCGCTGCTAAAATCCCAGATATAAACAAAGCGATCACTTGAGCCAGCCGAGACTCGCGTACCGTCCGGTGACCAGCAGCTTCGAAGCAAATTCTTTTCGAAATTGTGTTGATGGCCCATAAATGTTTGAATGCAACGTTCGATCGGTGCGTATGGTCGGATATCCCACACACGAAGCGTATTATCCATGGAGTTCGACAAAATGTACGAACCATCTGGTGATAGTGTCACACCAGTTACAGTATCTGAGTGGCCAGTGAGTGTGTATACGATTTCATTTTTACGAATGTCCCATACTTTGACGTCGTTATCGATGCCACCACTCACCACGTATTCGCCCGTATCATTGAAACAAACGGCCGTCACTTGATAATTGTTGTCCAGTGTGTGTACCACTTGCTTCTTACGCGGATCCCATATTTTGATCGTACAATCATCCGAACCTGATACCAATGTCGGATTGCCTCTGCGCGTTGCACACACCGAATTCACAAATCCAGTGTGACCTTTGAGCTTTCGGATACGCTGTGATGTTGGCACATCCCAAATCGAGAGAGTTTTGTCCGTTGCACAGGTATATACATTCGAACCATCGGTCGAGAAATGAGCTTCCATGATTGCACCCGTGTGTCCAGTCATCATGCTCACATTTTCACATTCGTCGTACACAGTCCAGAGTACTAAAAGGGAATATTGAACATGAATTATTATTGGATTGAAAATTATCGAGAGCAATGAGAGGAAAAACCAAAAGAAAAAACAAACGAATGTTCCTGTAGAACAGTGCAAACACTTACAAATCTTTCGATCGAAACCGGTGGAGAGAAGATGTTCACCTTCTGGATGAAATTCACAACCAAATACCTCACCTTCATGACCCTCCAGAAGCATAATCGGCGAAAAAAGATTCGATGTTCGTTTTACACCCTAAAAAAAACACACATTTTAAGTCAGTAAAATTGAATTTCTATGTAAATTCAATGTATTCTTTGTGCTTGTTAAGTTTCTTACGGTTTCAAGAAGTGCCTTGTCCCGGCTTGTAATAGCAACCAACTCATTTCTCGATCGCTTTAGGTCTTGAATAGCAATGACTGAATCTGCGGCACGTTTTGCCATTTTCGATGAATTTTTTTGTTAAATTTTCTTAAAATTTTACAATCAAAACAATTTATTTGTTGGTTAATCGTTTTGATACGTACAAGAAATGTATGTGCTAGGCTTGACAGCCGCTTTCATTTGATTGGGTTGACCATAGTGCGGTCGAAGTGTCAGTCTTACCAAGGTTCACCAAGTTTGGTATAACGAATAAATTTTGTTTGAATTTTTTTTATCAATTTATTAATGATTTTCCTTTGAAAAGTATCAAAAAAATTCATTTTTTCCCATTTTTGATAAATATAATTGTTTTAAGACGCGCAAAATGAACCGAAGAAATTAAAAAAAAACATTCCGCCAAAACTCAGCGATGGCAAGCCTAATGCGAGCTGTCAATCAAAACTTCAAACCAATTCAGTGCTTTGGCTCAATACCGCAACAGTGATTCATTCAGTGAGTTTTTATTTGAAATAGAAATTTGCAAAAATCCGAAATCATCGGCCATCCAAACTAATTATTTTTGTTAATTTCCAAAGTATTTCACATCAATAAGGAACGATGGCTCCAAAAGGTGGTTTAGTTAAGGTAAAACCCGTCGGTCAGGCCTATAAAGACAAAAGCAAACCGGCTGATGTTCGTAGCAGCAACATCAATGCAGCAAAAGGTAAAGAATTTCCGAAAAAATTGACAAAATTCTATGAATTTCATGTTGATATCTGGTGTTTATGTGTTTTTAATGGTGAAAATCTCATTTCCCGACGTTTGCATTGTAAAATCATAGTAGTTTTCAGTGTATACGTGATGAAAAAAACATTTGGTTTATTACGCTCTTGTTTAGCGTTCCATTGGTTAGTCATGGGTTCTAGAAGTATCGATTGTTGTTGGGCACGTTGTTTAGTCTAAACTTTAGAAGTTTTTGTGCATAAAATGGAAGAGCTTGATAGAATTTGGGGATTTTTCAGTGTTTCACAAGGATTTTTATGGAATTTCGAGTATTAAAATTGTTTTATGCATTTCTTTGTATGCATTTTCAAGTCATATGACAGTTGACAGCACCAATCAAGCGGAAAACTTTTCAATGGCTATTCGATCAATGTTCTGCGATTTTACATCAAACATCAATCTTTCGAATGAAAAGCAATGTAAAGTGAGTTAATATTAAATCAAACCAATCTTTTTTCCGATTTCAGCTGTTTCCGATGCCATCCGTACGAGTTTGGGTCCTCGAGGCATGGACAAAATGGTAAGAAACTTATTGTGACTTCTAATTTTTGTCCGATTTTTTCCAAAACTAAAACCAAAATTGCGTATTTTAGATCCAAGCCGGAAATGGTGAAGTCACAATTACAAACGATGGTGCCACAATTCTGAAGCAAATGAATGTGATTCATCCAGCTGCAAAAATGTTGGTCGAATTGTCACGTGCGCAAGATGTTGAGGCTGGTGATGGTACCACATCGGTTGTCGTTATTGCAGGAGCATTGCTTGAAGCTGCTGATCGTTTACTTCAAAAAGGTATTCATCCAACCGCAATCTCAGACGCCTTCCAACGCTGCAGTACGAAAGCTGTTGAGATTCTCACGGCAATGTCAAAGCCCGTCGAGCTATCAGATCGTGATAGTTTGATCAAAAGTGCATCTACCTCACTTAGCTCGAAAGTTGTGTCACAACAGGGCAGCATATTGGCTCCATTGGCCGTCGATGCGGTGTTAAAAGTCACGGAACCGGGTCAAGAGGAACGCGTTGACTTGAAAAACATCAAAGTCATCCGTAGTTTGGGTGGTACCATCGAAGATACTGAATTGATCGATGGTTTGGTGTTCACAGAACGAACGGCCGGTGTGAATGGACCGAAACGCTTGGAAAAGGTGAAAATCGGTTTGATTCAATTCTGTATTTCACCACCAAAGACTGACATGGACCATAATGTCATTGTGTCAGACTATGCCGCCATGGATCGTGTATTGAAAGAAGAACGTGCCTACATTTTGAACATTGTCAAACAAATCAAAAAAGCTGGCTGCAACGTTCTATTAGTACAGAAATCGATCTTGCGCGACGCCGTCTCCGATTTGGCCATTCATTTCTTGGACAAAATCAAAGTTATGGTTGTCAAAGACATTGAACGTGATCAAATTGAATTCGTATGCAAAACACTTGGATGCCGACCAATCGCATCGCTCGATCATTTTGTAGCCGAAAATTTGGTGACAGCCGATTTGGCTGAGGAGGTTGCTAGCGGAACGAACAAATTTGTCAAGATCACCGGTATTCAAAATCAAGGACGTACCGTTTCAGTCATCGTACGTGGATCAAACAAATTGGTTTTGGAAGAAGCAGAACGATCAATTCACGACGCTTTGTGCGTTGTTCGATGCTTAGTTAAGAGAAAGGCATTGATTGCTGGTGGTGGAGCACCCGAGATCGAATTGGCTTTGCAATTGGCCGCTTATTCAAACACATTGGAAGGTGTCGACGCCTACTGTTTCCGTGCATTTGCCGAAGCATTGGAAGTGATTCCATCGACATTGGCCGAAAATGCGGGTCTCAATCCAATCACCACGGTGACTGAATTGAGAAATCGTCACGCACAAGGCGAGATCAATACTGGCATCAATGTACGTAAGGGATCAATCACCGATATTTTAACCGAAAATGTCGTGCAACCGCTTCTCGTCTCCGTATCTGCGATCACATTAGCTTCAGAAACCGTTCGATCAATTTTGAAAATTGATGATATTGTGAGTAGAACTACATGCAATTATTGAAAGAAAATTTATTTAGAAAAAAATAAAACTAAAACTTTCTCTTTTGTTTCGATTTGTCAGGTCAACACAATCCAGTAAATGAAAGAATAACATCCTCTACCACATCATAACCGTTCACAACAATTTCTCAGTTTACCAGTACACTACATTTAACTATTTTTTCATACGTACATCGATCGATTCTTGATTGTGACATCGATGTTTATGCACTCACTATCAGTTCTGTTAACAGCATTAGCGTTAATTTGATTAAAAAGGCAAATAAAAAACGTGCTTATTAACCAAAATCTAGAAAATCGGCGTTGATGATTCGAAGTAGAGTATTTTATTTGATTTCTAGCGATTCATTGGGTATTAAATGGTATTTCTCTTGGTAGTCATCCAATTCAGATGGTAACGTTGAAACTTTCGCTGTAATTTTTAATGACATCAGGTAGATAATATCAACGTTTTTCAATGTTTTTTTTTTTGTTTTATTCAGATACAAAATAAAATGCAATAAATGCAATGCTTACACTTTTGTATGAAAATATGCTTAAATTAATCAGAATCAAACTTCAAAAAGTTTTCTTAACATAAAAAGTGCTTCGATTTGCTGGCACTAGAGCATTTTTTTCTTAATATTCTATCTTTTGAACAAAGATAGTTTGTTGATGATAAAGCTGAGCTGGTTAAAATATTGTTTTTGAGTAATATATATGTTTTCTTAAACATCTATTAGAAAATGGTTAATGAGTTACATTTAATGTAAAAAAATGATTTCGTTCTTATGAAAAAAATAGAATAACAGATATAAAAAAACGTTTATAAACGAAAACAACACGAGCTGCCTTTTGAACAGTAATTACAGTTTTCGCTGAAGACCACGTCAATTTGTTTTGTCTTAAAATCGTTAGAAAGTAGATGAAAAAAGTGACAGACAGGTTCACAATCGATAACTAATACGAACTGCTCTTTCATTCGACGATGGAATTGTAAATGTAACGTCATAGTCTTCGTGTTTTTCTCCCTCAGCTGAAACCCATGTCACTTTACTATTGTAAATTTGTCTTGAAATCGTATTTTGAACAATTTCCTTTGTTTGACTTTCGTCACAGCTTGATGCCCTTGATGAAAGTATCGCAAACTGGAAATACTTCCTAATATTTTCCAAACCACCCCAAAGTTTATGATCTGTGTGGAATTGTTCATTGCGAACTTTTAAATCAGGAAGCCTGGAAAAAGTTTCAGTGCTAACCAACCATTGTATTTTTGTTGGATTGTTTTCGAACATTTCACCTAAATTTCAAATGTTCGAAATTTTTCAAATAATCAATGAAACGTTTGAAAGATCTTAGATAAGACTTGGTTTCCATGTTTTGTTCTTTCTTTGCTGCGTACACGGCAACTAGTTCAATCAACGTTTTCGCACCTGATACATAATCGTTGAAATGCAAAGTTTTATACCTAAATAAAAAAAAACAAAATTCATTAAATCATGATCCAATGCAAAAAGGAAGGTTTTGCTTCATACGAAACCAAACAAGACTTACCAAAACCTTGCAATGCGCACCATTTCGTTAACGAAACCATCTTGTCGCTTCATGAAGCGTATTACTGCATCCGTCAACGAACTGGAATACATGTAGCCGTACTTTTTTGGGTCCTTTTTGATGTATGCCAAAACTCGTTGCTGCTGAGTGTTGATCAAGGCATCACCTTGAAGCTGAAGACCATTGGTAAAATTCGCTGCTGGCAAAATATCGAACTCGAATCCCAAAGCTTTGAATTGAATTGAATGTTTCGTTTTGTGCACATCTCTTATATTGAAGGAATCCGTCATGGTGAGAATGTTTTCAAAGTCATCTAAAACATCTCCGAACATGGGCCGTTCGTCATTGATGAACAATACGCAATCAATATCTGAACCGATGATTGTTATTTTTTTACCGATGCTACCGGCAATGCAAACACGACCAACATCAAATTTACTTTTTGTTTGAAGCAATTTGATGATCTGAAAAGATTTGACAAATGAGAGAAAATATTTTATCGAATAGCTACGGTATTTATTGCGAGAAATATATATTTGTATAATAATGTGACTTACTTTGTCGGCGCAGACTTTTGCATCATCACTTGGGATGATATCCGCAGCCAATTTTTGAAGGGCTTTATTCATTGCAACCTCAAACGGATCCATTTTTCTTCGTTGTTTTACTGAAATTATTTGTTAAATTAGATTTTTACAGTTGCCAACCAAAGGTTAAGTATGCCCACTGCCGAAAAATATGTACTTAGAAATATAGACGCAATACGCAAGATTCAATATGAAATGCCCGAAAACGAATTATTAAAAAAAATGCGCTGTGTGATCGTGTGTATCAGTCCACACCCAGTCAATGCTATTTATTAATTTGTTTATAATCTGACTCCGCGATTTGTTATACGAAATTTATCTTCGGATTCACAGTTGTATTAGTACAAGTGCTGTCGATGCATATATTGCAGAGATCACTCCAGTAGTAGTGCAAACTTTAATGTAAACATCTATTGAAAAATCATCTAGTAGCCTGCCTTTTCTTTGGTTTTGTATAGCTAATACATGGGGCAGGGACGAAAATAAGTCGGTTCTTCATCTTCTTCTTATTATGAAACAATAAATCCCGTTTATTTTATTATGTTATCATGGAGTCAAATTATATACAATTTTTTGTCTGCGTACAGCGATGAACCGAGCAAAATTCTATTTCTTTGTTAAGAATCCGCTTTTCATTCTAATATCTAATTATACTTTAGACTCTTACCTTCTGTTCGAATTAAATTTTGTGATAAAGAAGTCACTGCAAAGCAACAAGTTAAGAAAATAATTTTAGTGGAACTGCCGGCTCTCTTTGTTTACAATAATTCACTAAGACGTAATTTTGCACACAGTGTAGCCAGTGATGACATTTATCTTTTGTCCGATTGGTACAGCTGATTGAACTATTGCGCGCGATTCAATTGAAATTAAAAATTGAACTTTAAAATCGAGACTTTTTTCACCAAATTGTGTTATCGTATTTTAATCGTTTTTTGTTTAATCAAAGTCAAATCATGTGAAACATATGCAAGCATTTTGGAATATTTTCCTTTGAAAAAGTATACTTTCACATAAGAAAATATTGTTTCAAAGCATTCCATTGTTATGAAATCATATTTGTCACATAGATGGCACTCATAAGCTAAACACTCGTACTCGCAACTAAACAACTTGTTCTACGCAAATATCTTTTTTTACATCAACGAGACAAAACAACAATAATTTGACGATCAAATTTGAATTTTCAAATTTGGAGTATGTATAATTGTATATTTTTAATTTTTGAGTTATACATAGCCGTAGAAATCAGAGTTTGACTCAGGCGACAGATATATGCTTTAGCATAGCAAAAATATCCGCATATTTTTTTGGTTCGTCCACTCTCAGTATATAACGGCACCCAGCTTCATCGAGTATCAGCATGCACACTAAACGTAGTAATATAGATTATAGAACGGTTTGTTTACAAAGAAAAAAAATTGTTTATAAACAAAATCTTCCAGAGATACAGCGCAATGTATTTAGACGGCAGCAATGCTGTCCTATGTTAAGGTTTATAGCGCTGTATAGTTCTGGTAGATTTGGTTTATAAACAATTTTTTTCTCCGTAAACAAACCGTCCTATACTACCACGTTCAGTGTGCGTGCTGATACTGGATGAAGCTGGGTACCGTTATATACTGAGAGTAGACAAACCAAAAAATATGCGGGTATTGTTTCTATGCTAAAGCATATATCTGTCGCCTGAGTCAAACTCTGGTAGAAATAGTAAATTTCGAAATTATAAAAGGAAATTATGAATTAACGCTATTACAACTGTATTGGTTTCGATTTGTCAGGTCAACACAATCCAGTAAATGAAAGAAAAACATAATCTACAACATCATAACCGTTCACAAAAATTTCTCAGTTTACCAGTACACTACATTTAACTATATTTTTCATACGTATATCGATCGATTTTTTATTGTGACATCGATGATTATGCACTCACTATCAGTTCTGTTAACAGCATTAGCGTTAATTTGATTAAAAAGGCAAATAAAAAACGTGCTTATTAACCAAAATCTAGAAAATCGGCGTTGATGATTCGAAGTAGAGTATTTTATTTGATTTCTAGCGATTCATTGGGTATTAAATGGTTTTTCTCTTGGCAGTCATCCAATTCAGATGGTAACGTTGAAAGTTTTGCTGTAATTTTTAATGACATCAGGTAGAAAAAAAACAACGTTGTGTTTTTATGTTTTTTGTTTTATTTAGATAGGAAATAAAATGCAATACATGCAATGCTTACACTTTTGTATGAATGCCCAAATTAATCAATATCCAACTTCAAAAAATTATTTTAACTTGAAAAGTGTCCTAATTGGCCATGGTGTTTGCAGACACTAGAGTGTTTTTTGTTAATATTCTATCTTTCGAATAAAGATAGTTCGTTGGTGATGAAGTTGGGCTGGTTAAAATATTGTTTTTGAGTAATATATATGTTTTCTTATACATATATTATATAAATGGTTCATGAGTTACGTTAAATGTAAAAAAAATTGATTTCTTTCTTTTGGCAAAAATGGAATAACAGATATATAAACGAAAACAACACGAACTGCCATTGAACAGTAATTACAGTTCTCGCTGAAGACCACGTAGAATATTTTTGTCTTAAAATCGTTAGAAAGTAGGTGAAAATAAAATGACAGACAGGTTTACAATCGATAACTTATTTGAATTGCCTTTTCATTCGGCGATGGAATTGTGAATGTGACATCACAGTCTTCGTGTTTTGCATTAGATGGATACCATGTGGAATTGGAATTGTAAATTTCTCTTGAAATCATTTTTGTTAAAACTTCCCTTATTTGATTTTCATCACAGCTTGATGCCCCTGATGCAAGTACCGCAGACTGGAAATGATCCTTAAGAGTTTCCAAACCACGCCGCAGTTCATCTGTGTCGAAATGTTTATTGCGAATTTTTAAATCAGGCAACCTGGAAAAGGTTTCAGTGTCAACGCCAACGATCCATTGTCCATGCATGTTTGGACGATACACCGGCTGTGGCTCAAAAAGTTCATCCAAACGAGCCCTACGTGAATCGGCAAGACTCTGTAAACGTTTATTCGATTCGTTTGCGTAATCTTTTAGCAAATGAATAGATTTCGTCCAGTTTTTCGCTAAATTGTTATATGGATTTACTGGATCCATAACACGTGGTCGATCTTTATCGTCATCCGTTTCAAAATGAATATTCAAATTGTCGAAATTCTTCAAATAATCCATGAAACGTTTGAAAGATCTTAGATAAGACTTGGTTTCCATGTTTTCCTCTTGCTTTGCTGCATACACGGCAATCAGCTCAATACAATTTTTTCCACCTGACCGATTACGTAAATCGTTGAAATGCAAAGTTTTAAACCTAAAAAAGAAACAAAATTCATTAAACCATGGTTCCAACGGAAATAGCGCATTCTCGCAGGACTGAAAATAAAAAGGTGATACGAAACCAATTAGGACTTACCAAAATTTTGCAATGCGCACCATTTCGTTAACGAAACCATCTTGTCGCTTCATAAAGCGTACTGCTGCTTCTGCCAACGAACTGGAATACATGTAACCGTACTTTTTTGGGTCCTGTTTGATGTGTGCCAAAACTCGTTGCTGCTGAGTGTTGATCAACGAATCACCTTGAAGCTGAAGACCTTTGGTAAAATTAGCTGCTGGCAAAACGTCGAACTTTAATCCAAAAGCTTTGAACTGAATTGAATATGGCGTTTTCTTCATATCTTTATCGTTGAAAGAATCGGTCATGGTGAGAATGTCTTCGAAGTCATCTAAAACATCTTCAAACTTGGGCCGTTCGTCATTGATGAATAGCACGCAATCAATATCTGAACCGATAATTGTTAGTTTTTTACCGGTACTACCGGCAATGCAAACACGGTCAATATCAAATTTACTTTTTGTTTGAAGCAATTTGATGATCTGAAAAGGTGTGTTAAATGAGAGGAATTATTTTATCGAATAGCTACGGTATTTATTGCGAGAAATATACAAAAGTAATGTGACTTACTCTGTCGGCAGAGACATTTGCTTTCTTCAACTCTTCATCACTTGGAATGATATCCTTAGCAAATTTTTGAAAAGCTTTATTCATATCAACCTCAAATGGATCCATTTTTCTTCGTCGTTTTACTGAAATTAATTGATAAATTAAATTGTTACAGTTGTCAACCACAAGTTAAGGACGCTCACTGCCAAAAATATGCACTTAGAATTATAGACGCACTACCCAAGATAAGTTACATTTATATAAAATGCTGGAAATTTAATGTTCTAAAAAATGCGCTGTGTACTGGTGTGTATCAGTCCACACCCAGTCAATGCTACTCAGACAAGAATTTGTTTATATTTTGACTCCGTGATTTGTTATAAATAGAAAGGCTTACGAAATTCGTCTTCACATTCACAGTTGTGTTTGTACAAACGCCATCAATGCATGTATTGCTGTAATCACCCTAGTAGTGGTGCAAATTTTATTGCAAATACAGTACGCCCCCGCAAATTAGAAACCCGAGAATTAGAAAACCTCAGAAATTAGGAATGAATTCCAGGTTTGAAAATTTGTATGGAAAATTTCTAATTTCCGGGGTTCATTTCTAATTTACGGGGTTTCCGAATCATTTCATTCAAGACAAAGGGAAATTTACTTCATTTTTAATGAAAAAACGTAATGAAAGTCTTTTCCATTTCGTTGAATAACTATATTAGCAGATCAGCTTGGGATTTTCAACGTTTACCATGAAGTTAAAAATTAAGTCAAGAAGTAAATTGTTCCATATTGTCTGCGTCAATCATCAATCATTAACAAATCAAAACCGATTTGTTCCATCAGAGAATTTGCATATACAAACTTGTATATAGAATGCTAACGTTTTCTGTTTACTATCGTAAGATAGGTCATCATTCATTTCGGTTTGTTCCGAGGAATAGTTTAAAAGTAAAAAGTAGTCCAGTAAAATAAACTAACAGACTTACTATATATTTTTAATCACTAAAATAACTTGATTGAACAGTGTTCAATATATTGTTTTCAATTAAGCAAATCATTCCCCCTATCAGTTTTTCATTTGATACACCGTTTTTGGATGAAATTGAAAAATCCTCAGAAATTAGAAAACTCCGCAAATTGGAAATGGTCTCGGGACATTTCATTTCTAATTTGCGGGGGCGTACTGTATTAATTACAAAATCATATAGAAGCCTGCCTTTCTTCAGATTCATGTAGCTATGAGTATATACATAGAAATCATTTGCACTAATACATGGAGTAGGGACGGAAATGAGCCGCTTCTTCGTCTTCTTCTTATTGTGAAATTCATTTTTATTTCTTAGAACACAAAGAAATTTCTAATATTTCTACCGTAAAATAACCTCTAGTATGGTTTGAAGTCATAATACAAAACATTAGAAGTCACATTGCGTTCTAGGAAATAACAATGAATTTCACAATAAATCCCGTTTATTTCAGTACCTGATTATTGAGCGAAAGTACATACATACAATATTCTGTCTGTATACAGCGAGCAAAATTCTATTTCTTTCCCGAGGATCCGCTTTTTATTCTCATTTCTAATACCTAATTACACTATGGACTCTTACCTTTTGTTCGAATTAAATTTTGTGATAAAAAAAAATCACAGCAACGCAACAAGTTGAGAAAATGATTTCAGTGGAACTGCCGGCTCTCTTTGTTTATAATAATTCACTATGAGGTCATTTTGCACACAGTGCAGTCAGTGATGCCATTTTTCTTTTCTCCGATTGGCACATCTGATTGAACTATCCCACGCGATTCAATTGAAATTAAAAATTCAACTTTGAAATCGGGACTTTTTTCACCAATTTGTGTGCTATCGTATTTTAATCATTTTAGTATAATCAAAGTCAAATCATGTGAAACATATTGCATGCATTCTAGAATATTGTTCTTGAAAAAAGTATGCTTTCACATAAGAAAATATTGTTTCAAAGCATTCCATTGTTACGACATCAACTTTTTCACATAGATGGTACTCATTAGTAAATTACATGTAAACTAAACAACTTGTTTTGCACAAGTTTTATTTTTCCAATCAATGAGACAACACAACAATAACTTGATGTTCAGTTTGAATTTTTAAATTTGGAGTGCGTATATTTTTAATTTGTAAGTTATAAAAAACAGTAGAAATTGTAAATTTCAAAATTATCAAAGGAAATCATGAATTGACTGTATTTGTTTTGATTTGCCAGGTCAAAACAATCCAGTAAATGAATGAAAAACATCCTCTACAACCCGAGAAGATTTTTGTTCCTTTTTAGCACATGAACTGGTGCCGTAAAGTCATACTAAACTACTCAAGTATTTAAGATAATGCTACTTTTTGACTCTACAATATTAGAATCGCAACGATTCAATTGCTTTAATTTGCTTAATTCGGCAAGCGAATACTACGAGCAAATACTCAATGAAAATTCCGAAACGTATCGTATGGAGTAAATGCCAATTTTTTTCTCCTTTAACACTCATTCGAAGCGAAGAAGAAGAGGAAAAATTTGCATCTTTCCTATGCCGGGAGTCGAACCACGGACCTTCTGATTGCCGGTCAGAAACTCTATCCATTGAGCTACGAACATTATTGCAATTCTCATTTGAGCGCATTTTTACCTTGTAAGGTGATCATACCAGAGAAGAATTTCGTACCATAAACGTTAATTTGATTTCTAGCGATTCATTGGGTAAAACTTTGGCTGTAATTTTTAATGACATTGGGTAGAAAAAAAAACAACGTGTTTTTATATTTTTTGTTTTATTTAGGTACGAAATAAAATGCAATACATGCAATGCTTACACTATTGTATGAAAATATGCTTGGATTAATCAAAATCAAACTTCAAAAAGTTTTCTTAACTTAAAAAGTGCTTCCATTTGCTAGGCACTAAAGCGTTTTTTTGCTGATATTCTATCTTTTGAATAAAGATAGTTCGTTGATGATAAAGTTGAGCTGGTTAAAATATTGTTATTGTTTTCTTATACATCTATTAGAAAATGATTCATGAGTTACATTAAATGTAAAAAATGATTTCTTTCTTATGGTAAAAATAGAATAACAGATATATAAACGAAAACAACACGAACTGCCATTGAACAGTAATTACAGTTTTCGCTGAAGACCACGTCAAATTGTTTTGTCTTAAAATCATTAGAAATTAGGTGAAAAAAAGTAACAGACAGGTTCACAATCGATAACTAATACGAATTGCCGTTTGATTCGACGATGGAATTGTGAATGTAACGTCATAGTCTTCGTGTTTTTCTCCCTCAGCTGAAACCCGTGTCACTTTACTATTATAAATTTGTCTTGAAATCGTATTTAGTACAACTTCCTTCATTTCATTTTCATCACAGCTTGATACGGTTGATGCAAGTATCGCAAACTGGAAATACTTCTTAATATTTTCCAAACCACCCCAAAGTTTATGATCTGTGTGGAATCGTTCATTGCGAACTTTCAAATCAGGAAGCCTGGAAAAAGTTTCAGTGCCAACCAACCATTGTATTTTCGTTGGATTCCTTTCGAACATTTCACCCATATCTGGACGATATACCGGTTGAGGCTCAAAAAGTTGATCCAAACGAGCCGCACGTGAATTGGCAAGAACCTCTAAACGTCGATTTGATTCATGTGCATAAGCTTTCACCAATTGAATCGATTGTCGATCCCAGTTTTTCGCCAAATTGTTATATGGATTTACAGGATCCATAACACGTGGCCGACTTTTGTTCAAAACTCGGTGCTCGTCCGTTTCAAAATGAATATTCAAATTGTCGAAATTCTTCAAATAATCAATGAAACGTTTGAAAGATCTTAGATAAGACTTGGTTTCCATGTTTTCCTCTTGCTTTGCAACATACACGGCAATCAGTTCAATACAATTTTTTGCACCTGACCGATTACGTAAATCGTTGAGATGCAAAGTTTTAAACCTAAAAAAGAAACAAAATTCATTAAACCATGGTTCCAACGGAAATAGCGCATTCTCGCAGGACTGAAAACAAAAAGGTGATACGAAATCAATTAGGACTTACCAAAATTTTGCAATGCGCACCATTTCGTTAACGAAACCATCTTGTTGCTTCATAAAGCGTACTGCTGCTTCTGCCAACGAACTGGAATACATGTAACCGTACTTTTTTGGGTCCTGTGCAATATGTTCCAAAACTCGTTGTTGCTGAATGTCGATCAACGTATCACCTTGAAGCTGAAGACCTTTGGTAAAATTAGCTGCTGGCAAAACATCGAATTCAAATCCCAACGCTTTGAACTGAATCGAATATTTGGTCACGTGCACATCTCTAATGTTGAAGGAATCGGTCATGGTAAGAATATTGTCGAAGTCTTCTAAAACATCTCCGAACATGGGCCGTTCGTCATTGATGAATAGCACGAAATCAATATCTGAACCGATAATTGTTAGTTTTTTACCGATGCTACCGGCAATGCAAACACGACCAATATCAAATTTACTTTTTGTTTGAAGCAATTCGATGATCTGAAAAGGTGTGACAAATTAGAGGAATTATTTCATCGAACAGCTACTTCATTTATTGCGAGAAATGTAGAAAAATAATGTGACTTACATTATCAGCACAGACTTTTGCATCCTCCCTTGGGATGATATCCGCAGCCAATTTTTGAAGGGCTTTATTCATCGTAACCTCAAATGGATCCATTTTTCTTCGTCGTTTTACTGAAATTAATTGATAAATTAAATTTTTACAGTTGTCGACCGAAAGTTAGGTATGCGCACTGCCGAAAAAATGCTCTTAGAATTATATAGGCAATACGTAAGATAAATTACATTTATAAAAAATGCCTTAAAACGGATTATCGAAAAAATGCGCTGTATATTTTGTGTATCAGTCCACACCCAGTCAATGCTACTCAGACAAGAATTTGTTTATATTTTAACTTTGCGATTTGTTATACGAAATTAGTCTTCATATTCGCAGTTGTATTAGTACAAATTCGGTCAATGCATGTATTGCTGTGATCACTTTAGTAGTGGTGCGAATTTCAATGTAAACATATATTGAAAAATCATCTAGTAGCCTGCCTTTTCTTCGGTTTTGTGCTACACAAAATGAGTATGTACAGTGTACACAGGAAACATTTGCACTAACACATGGAGCAAGGACTGAAATGAGCTGCTTCTTCATCTTCTTCTTATTGTGAAATTCATTTTTATTTCTTAGAACACAAAGAAATTTCTAATATTTTTCAACATAAAATAACTTCTAACTTGGTTTGAAGTCATAACAAAAAATATTAGAATTCGCATTGCGTTCTAGGAAATAACAATGAATTCCACAATAGATCCCGTTTATTTCACTATGTGATCATGGAGTCAAAGTACATAAAATATTCTGTCTGTATACAACGAATAAAATTCTATTTCTTTCCCGAGGATCCGCTTTTTATTCTAATTCTAATATCTAATTACACTATAGACTCTTACCTTTTATTCGAAATAAATTTTGTTGTAAAAAAAAGTCACTACAATGTAACAAGTTGAGAAAATGATTTCAGTGGAACCGCCGGCTCTCTCTGTTTCAAATTGATTCTGCGGTCATTTTGCATTTTGCACACAGTGCAGCCAGTAATGACATTTGTCTTTTGTCCGATTGGTACAGCTGATTGAACTATCGCGCGCGATTCAATTGAAAGTAAAAATTGATTTTCAAAACCGGGACTTTTTCCACCAAATTGTGTTATCGTATTTTAGTCGGCTTTGTTCAATCAAAGTCAAATCACGTAAAACATATTTTCAAATATTGTTCTTGAAAAAAGTATAATTTCTCATTAGAAAATATTGTTTCAAAAACATTTTATTGTTATGAAATCATATTTGAATGGGCAAGCGGAATAATGAAACGTAATTCTGTTTTTAAATGAAGTGCCTCTGAGAAAAATTTTCAGTAAAAAAGCCCCACAAAAATATTGTCTGAATAAGATTTTCATACAAATTTTTATCAGACAATATTTTTGTGGGGCTTTTTTACTGAAAAATTTTCTCAGAGGCACTTCATTTGAAAACAGAATTACGTTTCATTATTCCGCTTGCCCATTCATTTGTCACATAGATGGCACTCATAAGCAAATCACTTGTTCTCGCAACTAAACAACTTGTTGAAATTGAACAACAAAAATATCATTTTTTACATCAACGAGACAAAACAACAATAATTTGACGTTCAGTTTGAATTTTCAAATTTGGATTACGTATATTTTTAATTTTCGAGCTAAACATAACCATAGAAATAGTAAATTTCAAAATTATCAAAAGAAATTATGAATTAACGCTATTACAACTGTATTTATTTTGATTTGTCAGGTCAACACAATCAAATAAATGGAAGAAAAACATTCTCTACCACATCATAACCGTTCACAACAATTTCTCAGTTTACCAGTACACTACATTTAACTAATTTGATTAAAAGGCAAATAAAAAACATGCTTACTAACCAAAATCCCGACGAGAAATTTGCGGTAAAATAGGTGTACGTCGACTATCCGTCGCATATCCGTTTTTGAGTGCGGATACTCGCAATGCGAATAGGTATCCACAATAAAAGTTGCCGCAAAATGTTATCGCTGAATACCCTGCGACTATTCGCGCTGCGATAAATGTGAAGTTGTAACTGGATCGAGTGTGACATTTCGACTTGAAACTTCGTACAACCAACGTGAAGTTGGCTGCGTTCGACGGACTTTTTCGTATTGCGACTATACGTAGAATAGTCGCAATGCGATATTCCGCAAATTTCTCGTCGGGAATCACGATGTATTTGATGTTGATGTTTCGGAGAAGAGTATTTTATTTGATTTTTTTTAGATATTCATCGGATAATCATTTAATAGAATGATTGATCACCAAACAATTGTATTGTTGCTGCTGTTATTACCATCGAGTTTTGCACACCGGCCAAAATGACCATTTATTGTCTAACAAGTGTGGTTGGTACAAGAAAACATATTCAGCACGTATACAATGAGACATGTGCAAATAACATGGATGATAGATACAAATATTAAGCCAAGGTCAAATATTAGCTTAACTGGTAATAATGCTGCTAACAAAATAGTCCAAATTAATGCAAAGAGTATTACCGGTCCGAGATAAGGAATAAAGGGAAATGGTGAGAATACGAACGATTTCAGCTGTGGATTCGAACATCGACTCTTGATTATATTTTGTTTACATGTTCTGCATAAAGCAATATAAACAACTTTCAGGTGTTCCAAATGAGGAAAATTCTTTACACAATATCCATTGTGTATCATCGAATTACAGTTCTCTCCCAGAAGAAGATGAAGTTTTTGTAAATTTTGAAAATCATCTATATTAAATGAATACCCTGTTACGATATTGGATTTAGCGAACTCGCTATCTAGCTCATCGATTGTGGCTTCTGTTAGGCTTTCGGCACAATGCTCTTTAATGCTGGCCATGATTGGTTGATCCACATGTTCCTTCACTCTTATTTCTGATAATAAACTACCAAAACAGCGTAACAATCTCAAGCTGAGTTTGGTATCTCGGATCGTTATGCTATTCTTTCTAATTTTAAATTTCTTCTTGCTGCGAAATAAACACCAACAACCTGAATCGATTCTAACCACCACTGTCCTTCGACTGTATCTTCGTGCATATATTGAATTGGCCACGTTGTTTAGATGTAGGCTTGAATCGGCTACATTCAAAAGATCTTCAAATTCCAGGTTCTGTAAAATGTGTTCGATACAGTCCACATTTAAATCGGTAATTTTCATCTCTTTCCGCTCCTTTGTTTTGGAATGAAGTTGTCTCCGAAGAAAAAGCCAATTCAACGCAATAAATAATGATATCGAAACTAAACACAGCTCGAACATTTTATTTAGTCCACAAACTTGATATGTCTAACGACGATTTTTGTGATGAAAACTCTTTTTCAATGGCAAAAAAACTATGAATTCAATTTTCTTAGTGGTATAAAACATACAGTTTAAAGTGACCGAATCAAACAACGATGCAAACACAACTGACTAAACTCCTTGTTTGCTCGACAATTTATATTTTCTTTTTGTAAATTAACCTTGCATTCTTATGCTATTTTACCTATCTAAACCTAATTTTAATCGGAATTCAAGTATTAAGACTTTCTTGGAAGGCGTACCAAAGTACTGCCAATAAGTTATCAGCTGAAATATTCAACACATTTTACCAATTTCAGTTTTTTTTTCAGAATTTTCTAATGACAAGATTCACAAAATTTCCTGCGATTCGGAAATGTAGCCAAATGATTCTATCTCCAACCCGTTAAAACGCATTTTTTTCGGTTGATTGCAAAAATAAATGTGTCGAAGAGTCCAAATTAAATTAAACATTATCATTATTCTAGATATCGCAAACACCAATCAATACAAGCGACAGAGATTGGAATTCATTAAAACATTTCTTCTTCAATCTACGTTTTGGTTTATTGATTTCATTGTATTGAACGTTCTCGCACATTTTATCCACGCAACAATCATAAAAGTGTCACCACGCATTTGATGGGTTCAAGGTTTCGATTCAAATGTTTTTTTAATGTTACCAGTTGGTTCGTCGAACTATTGACTGACAAGTGTAAATAAAAACAACTACCGCTTGCAAACAGCCTCTCACTATTACCTCATACAAAACCATTAGAACGTTGCTAACTTGCTTAAGCGAGCGTATCGTGTATCTCTTTATTGAAAAAAGAAAATCGGTCAATATAAATTTCGATAAAACATTCATCATATGAGCCGAAAAACATATAAAAAAGAAGAGATTCGGAGCCAGGATCAGATTTTATTTAAACCCGCACTTTATTCGTAACAAGTCAAATGTTGGGCGTACAAGTATTTCGCATTTAAAAGCAAAATTAACCCAATCATCATTTCCTGGTATTTGAACCTAGTTCTTTCTATGCATGAACCGTACGTGATATGGCATCGTCTATGACGTTGCATCAGCGAATTATAGGTAAACACAAAGGTAAAATGTTTACTAGGCAAGGAGACAACGATTTTGTTTCAAATGTTTGAATTTTTGCATATGTAAGAGTTTTTTTTCTATATAAATCGATAGTTTTTAGAATGGAATTGGAAGTATTATATGTTGAAACGTTGGAATAATTTGAAATGTTGTCATAAAATAATTTTACGTCTCAATCACTTGTCGTTCGTATGAATATTCACAGTAGTCATACGGTTTTGGTTCGAAATTGTTCATTTCTTTCGATATGTTTGTGATGAAAAATGATGACAAATTTCGATTGAATGACAAAAATCAAACCAAAATCATTTCATCGTCAAATTTTTCAAAGAAATAAATAACAACTAGTCGACTCAACTAGTTCTTCCACTGAAAAGACATTCAAATCAATTGCTTGACCGAATCATTTACAATTGTGAATGGTATAAGTAAAGCGCGCATTGATTGACATTTCTTCTATGGACAACTTCATACCGATCAGACTGGCGCCTTCTCTTCCATTCTCCTTTGTTTATCGGTTAAGCTGTTGCGAATTTTGAATTTGGCCCAACCAACTTCATGCTCATTTTTTTTAAACAAAAGAACTATCCACCAACTATAGCTCAGTGCAATGCCAGACAATTTAACCGATTTTCGCATAGTGCACAACACAATGTGAGCACATTGTTTCCGATTCGTGTAAAAATTTCGTAAACAGTATTATTTAAATGGATGGCTAATTTGTGTTTTATATTTGGATTCTAAATAAAAACGTGTGACGTTTTGTAAAATGTTTGATCAAAAAGAGACGGCATCGGGTTACCTGTTCTATGTAGACAGGCAAACAGGTATACAGCAAACTGACAATCCACAGCTGCAGGAGGTAATGCAAGTGATTCATGACAATCATAAATCCATCAAATACATCACATATCGATGCGCTACGAAAATTTGGTTTCTAAAACAATCATTTTACAGTGAGTAAAAATTGCGAAAATGGTAATTTATTGGGGGAAATTAAACATCAATTTTAATCATTCTTGTAGCCGTGAACATTCCGTACAGTCTTGTGATAACCGTGCTAAACCACCATGGATTTACTCAATGTGATAATGTTCCAGTGTTGAAGCCTAGACAGTTAATTGCTATTATCCATGATATTTACTTTGCTGCTCACAAGTGTGACCTCTTCACCGAAAGTGTTGACTTTCACTTGAAACGGTGCACATCGATGCTTGCCAATTTCTTTTGGTGTATTTATGACCCGTAAGAAGATTATAGGCTTTTTTTTTGTTTCAGTGAATATGTTAATACCTTTATCATAATAATTTTTTCCTAGAAAACGTATGGTGCCACTGTCGCTGTTGGTGTTTCGGCAAATGATGTTGTTACTTTGCAATACACAGCACTACGGTCAATTGATTGAAGAGGAATTCAATTTGGTGACAGATCCAAACCGATGTGTCAATCGATTTCGATTTGATTTGATCATCAATGCCATGTCGAAGTTCTTTTCGTACATCGGAGAGAGTACATTGCATGGACCTCATTTGATCGGCGCGATTATTCAAGAATGCTTCGAGAAGGTAATTTTGGAACAATTTAACCTTCTTTTCAAACAAAATGAGCGAGCTTCAACAGTATAAATTTGAATTTATTTTTACTGATATTTAAATTTATCTTTTGTCTTGGTTAGAGTCTCAGTATGATTGGCTTGAGTGAATATCAATTCATTGACCTTTGGCAACAGCAAAATATCAAATTCTCCTACTACACAAACGTGTTGGCAATGCTACATCGAATAAAAGAGTCACAGAACATCGTTCACGAAGTTGAATGTGTCAACTGTAAGAAGTCACCGATTGTGGGAATCCGATTCAAATGCCAACAATGCAAGAAATTGTCACTGTGTTTTGAATGCTTTTGTACTGGTTACAAAAGTTCCAAACACGAAATGTCCCACCGAATGTATGAAATTAGTACAAATGTAAGTGAAATGTTGAATGATTTTTTGGCATTTATGGATTTAACATCGCGATTTTATTTTTGCAAATTACATTTTTCCATTCAAAGTTGTAATTCATTGAAAATTTCTTTTTAAAAAAAATCTCCTTTTCCGCAGCTCTCAAAAAGCAATATGTTTTCCTCGACTATGGCAAGTGTCGGAAAGTTGTTTTGTTTCAAGCGAAAACCGAGCAAACGAGAAAATGATCACAATATTACCATGGAAATAAAGGTGACCGATGGAGAAAACGGTGATACTAACACCACGGTCATTGAATGTGTCAATGACATGAAATGGGATACGCCACGGAAACCGAAGCCAATTATCCATCAAAGTAGTGAAAAATTCAATGTGACAACTAAAGGTAATCAATATCTGTAATGAAAAAATGAACTTTTTTCAATATTTTGTTCGTTTGTTTTCTTCAACAGCCCCAATTCAAACTGCCAGTCCACAGAATGAACTGAATTCTGTACTCAGTTCCCTTGCTCGCCAAGTGGAAGACTTTCGAGGGTATCTGGCATTGTCCAAAAAGCAAAGAAAACTTCTGAAGCCAGAATTCCTAAGTGATCATCAAGTCTTCCTCAATGACATCATCCAAAAATTACGAGTTTTGAATGTGCCCAAGCCAAATTCCATCTCCGTTTCAAACGCATATTATCAGCACCATTCAAGTACTCCCTATCGAAGCGACTACATTCGCAAACCACTCGCGTTCAGTATCGGCACTCAATCAACTGACACCAGTAAGTTTCTTTTAAAAAAAACATTCTCTTCTGGCCATTGACGGAAATATTTAAAAAACAATCCGTAATTAAAGTTTACAGAGTAAAATCAGACAAGATCTATTTAGAAGATAATCGATCTGATTATACATTAGTGGATGTCAGCACAATGCCACGCTCCAAGTCACGAACCATCCATGCGACGGAGAAATCGAAAATTGTGAGTCATTTCATATCAAAAGGCCATTCTTTGCAATACATTTCTGTGTTTTTCAATCCAAATCATGCATGATTGGATATTTGTCATATGTCTTTGATTGTCGTTGCTGATGATTATCGTTAAATTATGAGCATAATAATTGATTTCCTATTCTCCTTTACCCAGGATGTGCGTCGCTGTCGTTCAGTTGCAAATCTCATGCCAGAAGATGCTTTCGAAGCTGAAATGGAGAATTTCAAGCACCTACTCGGCAAAATCAAAGTCATTTTGGATGGTATAAGCTCACAGTCTATGTAGATTTGGAATTAAAATAATGTAGCGAGAAAAAAAACGTAGAATAAATAAATAGTTGATAGTAAGAGAATTTCATAGTTGAATAATTTCCCAATAAAATATAATGTTGGTTTTCAATTGGTTCGTTACAGATTCAAACAGTGATAACAACAAATTGTCAACGGCAGCAAATAAATTCGAACGGGCACTCGATAAGCTGATTGAGTCTGAGGAACAGAAACGGATATGTTATGTGTAATACAAATTTAAGCCTAATCTTTGATGTTTAAGAAGTGATTTTTGACGCTATTTTGAAATAAGAAAATAGATATAGGATTTGTTGTGCAAATTACTCGAACGACGGCTTTCTAGAATCTCCGAAATTTGTATTCCAACAGTGAGTTGCGTTCTCTGTTGAGGATGGTCTTTATTTTTTCTAGCTATCTATGTAAGCAATACTATTTTTTATTCATAGAATCAAACTATCAATCGATAATTTTCACGGTGAATAGAGTGTAAATAAGATTGACATATGGAAAATAAAGATTGATCAGGTTATATTGTTTCTTTAACCGCGTCGTACAATTTTTCACTTTCAATAATATTTGATTTTCAGTGAGTTCAAGGGTAAAGTGGACGCTGGTCTTATTAACATAAGCCTATGCTTGCGTTCAGTGAGTGCGTGAGTGTTATAGAGCAAAATGTGTCTGACCGATTGTCCCATAAATATGCGTTGTTGACATAACACCATTCACTACATACTACAAAACTACGTCAATAGAACTCAACTAAAGCGACATCAGCTATATGTTTCAGAAAATTATTGCGGAACACATTTGTAAAATGCTGTCAATTGTTCAGTTACAAATGTGGTCATCGATTTAATGTGCAATTGCAATCATAATTCCACCACTGTTGTTGACAACTATGCGTACATCTCATCGTGGTGACATGAGGCAAATCATTGGCTAGAAAAAATCAACGGATATAAAAAGTACGGCATAAAGTGGTTTGTTTTTGTCTATTTTAAATTAAAGAATACAAGAATCAAATCGAAGCTGCATTTTTTGGGTCACTGTCACCACTTCCACAGATTCAAAATATTATCCGTAACGATGACAAATATTTTTTTTAATTTGTTAAATTGTTTTTCAGTGCTTACAGGTACCGATAAAAAAAATTATTATTATTACCGATATAAAAAAAACCATACGATTTGCTCGAAATTGGTTTCATTAGACAGGGCATTCGATTATCTATCGATTCCATAAATAAAATTGAGCAGAGTGAATAGAAAAGTGATCCTTTGCAATTTTCCGATTGGTCCATGTAAGGTGACATTTTTTATGCAAACTCGATTTGCCCACACGAAATATCGCTGCAAATTGGCTGAGAGTCGTGTTTCGACGTCATAAAGCTAACATTAAATCTCTAGAATGGTTTTGTGGCTGTGAAGGGAGTTACAGCGCCATATGTGATCAAAAAAGTTATTCTTTGAAAATTTTCAACTATAAGTAATATCGAGCACTATGTGTTTTATTACAAAGAATCGAAATGTCAATCGATAATATTCACGCGGTGAATAGACTGTAAATAAGATTGTCACATGTAAACTAAAGATTGACTAGATTATTCTGTTTCTTTGGTTCCATTGTTGTTCCATGCTCAATCATAGTTTTTGTTTTCTCCCCGTCCAGTGGTGAACTAGACGCTCATTAGCATATGCCGCATCGCGTCGATTTGATATAGCCTGTGCTTGCTTCCAGTGAATGCACGAGCTTTGAAATTCGATGATAGAAATTTATCAATAAATTGAGGGTCATTCGAAACTACCACGAGCCACGACGCAGACTATGAAAGATACGAAGCATTTCAATACTTTCATATTATTTGTATCGACCGCAACGGTGAATGTGTCTCCGAGACTCTGAGTTGCTGCTTTCGTCTACAACATCGAATAAATCATTCGAATTTGTGTATATTTTCCTTCGTCACAAGCACCGAGGAAATAAGATTGATTCGCATTTGTGGAGCTGAAAACACAAATCGCTCTCACAATCACTGTGTGAGGGTGGATAATAGTCATCAAACGGGTTCGAGCTTGTGTGTGAGCGCGTGGGATTAGTTTATGTTCGATTTATGCAAATGTAGTGGAACACCTAACCATTTTCCACCTGCACAAATTCCGCGCCACCAATTTTTCGTGATTATTGTCTCAGTCATCGGCTAGCGGCGTTAGGCAACAACAGCAATTGTCCGTTTGCTCCAATACGACGGCATTTAGTTGATTTTGCGGCGACCACTATTGTGTGCGACAATAATAAATAGTGACTGTTCCTTTTTGGGAAATTCCAGTGATTTTTGCTAATGTTGACATTGCTCGAATTATTCATTTTATATGAGTGTTGATTTTGTTTTTCAGTGTTCTTTTATTTGTTTCATACATTTTGTTTTGAATCGAGCTTACGTTTTTGTGTGCCTTTTAATATAATAGCCGATGTGTCACTTGGATTAAATCGATGGACAAAGTATAACAAACATACGTTCTCGAGAACGCAAAAAAATATGAAGTGTGACTTTTCAACCGAATATCCATCAGTCTTCGCTGAAGAAAAACCGAACGGATTTTACTTTTTAAATAGAAATCGAAGTTGATCTCGAAGAAAAATTCAACACAAAAACTGTGCGTATGGAAAATTGTGTGTGAAAAAAGATCATACGAAAAAGAAAAAAAAAACACAAAGTGAAAAAGAAATAAGCCAGCCCCAAATATAAGCAGGCCCAACTGAAAACCATGGAAAAATGTTGTAAAATCCGATGAAAACTCCAGAAAATATTTCAAAACGACGAGTACGTGTACCGTTTCAACAGGACTTTGTTCCAATAAACAAAACCAATTTCAAAAATTAGTTTTTCAAAATTCAGTTTAAACTGTGTAGTGTGAGTGTGTTCCTGGTATCTCGTCCAAAAGTTCGTTCTCACAGTGATAACATTTGAATTAAATTCGTTTCGTAGATAACATCGCGGTGAAAAAATCGTTGGCACATTCAATAGGCGGAAACAACGTAGTTGGATAAATTAACTATACATATCGTTTTGAGTTGTATGATTTCAACGATGCATGTTGGTTGCATGTAGTGTTCCTGTGGAAAAACGCGTACGTATCCATCAATCCATTCACATGAAATTGAAAATACATTGGCATACACACTGAGGATAGCGAAAAAGTTGCGTCAATTTTCCAATTCAGTGGTTGGTCGATTCCAGTCGTCTCTTCCTTAATTTTATTGGAATCGTTTCAAAATGGAATCGAAATCGAATTTATTATTTATGGTTTTTCGTTTTTTCGTTCACATCGCAATATCTGGTTTTATATTTAACACAAGCGCTGGTCTAAATGCAGTTGGCCGTTGTTGCACTTGTGTCTGTTTAGTAATTCCGTCATCCATTGAATTTTAATTTAAAATCGATTTTTACTAAAACAAATAACCGTCCGACACGCAAATTAGACATGACCAACTGACGCGTGTCATTCGGTCGCTATGAAACAATTTTCGATGAGTAATCACTGTGGTGTTTCGATTGAACTCGCTTTTCTCGGGCTTTCCATATGAAATCGAATCTGTTTTCATCGGAACGATGTGTGTGTGTGTGTGTGTGTGTGTGTGTGTGTGTGTGTGTGGGAAGAAAATTGACGACAGTTATTGTTGACGAACTTTTTTGACAAGTTCACGTTGTTCGAGTGACACTCGTAAATATTCTATCGTTAGCGAAATGATGATCCAAAGAATAACGAAAAGTGTTTCTTTTGTCAAAGTAAACAAAATGGAATTCGGTTTAAAGACAATAATTATGTTGACCTTTGGCTTCTTGAAAGTTCCATCACAAATGCACAATTGATCGCCGTCAACATTAATTTTACATTATCCCAGAGATAAACACGTAATTTGCTCAAGAGCATTTGCCTCTTGCATTTTTTATCATATGAACAATTTAGACACACGACATTGAAATTGCACTTCAAAATTGAAGAATACCACTTCAATTCAATCTTCTGTGGTGGCTTTTCATCAGGAAATTGTTTTCAAACAAATGAAAATGTCCAATTCAGTCGATAATGCTCATCAAACAAACAACGTTGCTCATCAATTTTTGAAGTTTATCACACAAATTTTATTGTACGTATTTGAATTTTCAACTGGAAAATTTTCCGCCTCCAACACACGTTATCTGATGAAAATGACGGCACAAGGGCTTTTATCATTTTATAATTTCATTTTCCATCACACACAGTGGGTATGTAAATGAAAGCCAACAATGACAATACCATTCAATCGAATGATGTACGATGTTTCAAGGTTATCGATCGATTCAAACATGCGTTACATTTTCGAATAAAAAAATAGCTTTAATTTTTCGACATGAACTTGAAATAAAAAATTTCCATACGCAAAGGATACACACCTCACGCATGCATGTTCAATTCCAATGGTAGCTTGGTTTTAATCACGTCATTTCAAACGACCCCCTCAGTGTCAAACAGATTTATTATTCAATCGTTTAAAATAACATAGACAATTATTTTGGTTCGGTGGTATCATGCTCACTATTGCGCTGTGATTACATTTGGATTATGAAGGTTTTGTCATACACATGAAATGATATCGAGAAATTATATCTTTTCCAACAGACACAGTAAATTTATAAGACTGTTAGATTTTAATCACTAAGGAAACTTGTGTAGACTTTGGCTTGTTAAAGGATTTCCATGTAATTTCTCTGGTGAGCTAACATACAAATGGCTATGCATGCTTGGGAATAATAAAGTAGCCAAACGGAAAAACATTTCATTTTATGATTTGTGGTCAAAACGTGTACCATTCCAATTATCATAACTTGATAACCTTTTCAATAATATTCGTCAGTTCACTTCACCATTTAACGAGATCTATTTATAAAATCCCGCCGAAGAAACACGATTGTACGCATGAGTTCAAGTTTAGAAAGTAAAAGTACTGTTCTGAAATAGCTGTTTTCATTCTTGAAATATAAAGAAATGTGTGGAAAAAAAGGAAAAACACGGATTCAAGCTCAAATATAAAATAACAAAAATATAAAAGTCCATAGTATGGAATCTACCCCACCCTCCTCCCAACAGTTACGTATATTTGTTGACTGTAATCGAGCTTTGCCGTCGTAATAGTTATAAATACCACTCTCCATTTCTTTACACTTCTTTCGAACTTGTTGCGAATGCAAATGTGCAAAGAGCTAGACTTGAATATAACAAAAGCCATTCAAGCTCACCGCAAACCGTCGTAAATGGGTCAAAAATAAGTTTGGCAAAGTTTTCTTATGAAAAATTAGTTCAGGAATGTTAGAAGAATGACGAAGCAAAACTTAATCGAAAGCAACAGAGAGGGAGAGAAAGAGGGAAAAGCCGCAATTATATGGCCAACTCATTGGACTAAATTTAGAATGCACGCAGACCTATTCTGCAGACAAATCGAATATATTCCAGTATTCAAGCTTCAATTATATCCACAAACAAAAAGTAATTTAATGACTGAGTTTAAAAATACTTTGGAATGCCAGGATCTGGTTTTTTTCACAAGTGGTTGGGGAATTCCCCAGAGAATAATACACTTGAACCAGGATAATTTTGTTTTATTTTCGTAATTTTAATTTGCAGTAGTTTATTTGTTGTTCATATTCATATTTTCGATTTCTTTTCGTCATTTTTTATTCTTTTCTGTCATTTTGACATTTTTTTCTCTTCAATTTGTTAAATTTCGTTTTATTCAATTCATACCACATATCAAATGTTATTTTTTTCTTTAAATAAAAAAGAAATCAAGGTTCAACTGATGCGACTGTATTATTGATGACAATTTTATTTATATTATATCACGACAAACGAGAATATTTCTAGAGCAGAGAGTTCAAGATCAAGCTGAATAAAGAAACAACATTCAAATCCATGTTCATAAAAAAAAATTGTCCCAACCCAGTTATAAATCCATGTTGGTGATTAAAAATGAACGAATTCGGTATATCTAGGTATGCTGCATGTTTCCATAATATCGTCAACTTTCCACGCACAATTTCGAGTCATTTGACTACGGTAAAAATCCACCTGCTGCCGTGCGATGAATAAATGTGTCCATAAAACATGATATAGTGCGATATGATCGATGTGTTATAACAGCACATATCTCATAACAATTCGAAGTGATTTCAGAGTACTATTGATTGGACTTAGGGGGCAATTTCTTTCGGTGTGTTTATATATATGTATATGACGCGTTGCTCATTTAATCGAGTAACTAACTACATGTGGTTTGAATGTTCCGAGCCATTCACCATAATGGCTTATCACAATTTCGTTTTTAGACTCTCATTGAACGAGGAGTCGAAATTTTTTGACCGTGACACGAATACAATGAATCGATGTTTTGATTTTTTTTAGGTTACAGTAAATTGTCGTCGTCACTTTGGGTCAGAATCATCATCAAGCTCAATTCTCAAGCGATGATTAGCAGTCGCATTGTTCGTTTGTAGTTCGAACAGGAAGCCAAACAGCGCAAAAACGTGAATATAATTACACTCGACCGAACAACAAAGTTTCATCAATTGAAACAGGGATTAATTAAGGAAAATAAAAAAAAGAGCAGACACACACACACACACACCGTAAGCGATGGCTGAAAACGTAAAAGTAATTGTTCGGTGTCGACCGATGAATGAAAAGGAGCGTAATATGAAATGCAAGGTATGTAACAACATCGATAGAGTGATGGTGATGTGAAGTAACCTCGTTCTAATAAACTTTTACTTCGATTTCGAAACATTGTTCAGAACATCATAAAAGTCGACAAATGCATGATTAGTATACAAAACCCGGCCGATTTAACCGCACCATCAAAGGAATTCACATTCGACAGTGCCTACGATTCGAAATCGTCCACTGAAAACATATACAATGACATTTGCTACCCACTGGTTGAGGTGAGTGCGAATTTAAAATTCTAAAGCTGAATATTTGATAAATACGGTGCATATTTCAAACGATGCACGAACATTTTTGTATTATGTATATCAGACGGGAGGTTAAATGGTTGTTTAAACAAATATCGTTTGCTAAATACCAACAACTGCTCACTTAGACCGAACGAATGAACCAAATTACTAAATTATTTGCAGAATGTGTTGGAGGGATACAATGGAACGGTGTTTGCGTACGGTCAAACTGGGTGTGGTAAGTCGCACACAATGCAAGGGCCTGATACACATCCCGGAATTATATTGACTAGTGAACAAATCGCTCAACGCGGTCTCATATCACGTTCCTTCGATCACATTTTCGAAGCGATGTCGGTAACGTCCGGTATTCGATATCTTCCGTTAGTAAGCTACTTGGAGATTTACAACGAAAACATTCGTGATTTGCTCAATCCCAACATTGCATCGGGTACATTGGTTTTGAAAGAGCAGCCAAATGAAGGTGTTATCGTTCAGAATTTATCGACACACGCTGTACACAGTGCAGAGGAGTGCGAACAACTGTTAACCATTGGTACGAAGAATCGTATGGTCGGTGCCACTCTGATGAATGCAGGTAGCTCGCGATCACATTCGATTTTTATCATAAATCTGGAGCAAATAACAACTTCAAATGGAGCTGCTGCGACTGAAGAAGACAATATTGCAACAATCAAAAAGGGAAAATTGAATCTCGTTGACTTGGCCGGATCGGAAAGACAAGCCAAAACTGGTGCAACTGGAGACCGTTTGAAAGAAGCCACGAAAATTAATCTTTCGCTTTCGGCACTTGGCAATGTGATTTCTGCATTGGTCGATGGCAAATCAAAACATATTCCTTACAGAGATTCGAAACTCACCCGACTCTTACAAGACTCGTTAGGAGGAAATACGAAAACGATTATGATCGCCTGCATTTCACCCGCCGAATTTAACTATGATGAAACATTGTCGACCTTGAGATATGCCAGTCGTGCAAAGAACATCAGCAACAAACCTGTGATAAATGAAGACCCCAAAGATGCTATGCTACGTGAATATCAAGCGGAAATTTTGAAACTGAAGTCACAACTGGCCAATAGTGGCATGACAAATGGGGTTGAATCGTCTATTGACTTGGAGATGAAGAAGAATATCGAAGCAGAAAAGGAAAAATTGGAAAATTTTTATGAATCCGAAACTGAACGCCTGAAGAATGAACATGAAAATCAACGAAAAGAAAAGGAGGAACTGATGAATGGTAATTTTTTATCGATTCATTTTCTTTATTTCATTGCTTTGATTTGTTGGGAAAATGAAATCAATGAAAATTCATTTGTTAGAATGCATATACTCAATGAGCATGAGTATCACTCATTGCAATCAATTTAATTATTCATTTATCTACCATTTGTTCAGATATGGAAAAGCTCAAAGCCCACTACGAGGAAAAAATATCGGCCCTGAACACACAAGCCAATAAACTACCACAAAACAATGAAGTGATTAATAAAATACAAGCATTGAAGAGCTCATTAGTTGGTGGCGAATGTGCAAATAACACACAATTGAAAGAGAAACGTCGACGCAAGAAACTGGCCGCTGAGCAGCGAATGAATGCCATTTCAATGGCACTTGATATGTGTGAACACGGTGAGGCTCGTGATATTTTACAAGGACACTATACTGACATTCAACAGGAGCTAAAATTGAAAACCGATGCTCTCAAAGCTATTTCACGGAAGGTAATGTTGTCTGCTAATAAATAATAAATTTTCCGTTTCCATTCAAATCATAAAAACCATCAATCTAATTGCAAATCATCCATATAGGCCTATGCGCTGGAACGAGAAGTGAGTGACTTACAGTCCGAGTTTCAACTCGATCGAACCGATTATCTTGAAACCATTCGCAAATTGGAGAAAAATTTGAAGTTTTATCAGCAATTGATTGAGCTATCGCTACCGTACCTGAGAAAAAGTGGCCGGCTTTGGGATCCGGAAACAATTAAACATGACTCGATTTGGAATGAAGACTTGAACAAATGGAAACTACCAGAAGATTCAATGACACGGCTTCGTTTACCGCCTGCAGGTAATATTCATTTCATGGAATATGTTTTGTTCTTTTTCGAATTGTTCAAAAAAACTAATTAACTCAATACAATCGAAATTTTTCATTCTAGACAACTTGAAAACGTTTCGTGAAGCGGAAAAAGAGGAGATTTTAGATTCTGAAGTAAATCACAACTTCGAAGCGGATATGTATTTGGAAAAGTTGGAGCAAGACAATGAGAAGGTGATATTTTGTACATAAAATTTAAATCATTGGGCTTTGTTTAGATTTTGTCATGTAAAAAATTCCTTCATATTCTAGAAAATGGAACGATCAGATGCCAATGATATTTTGGGTACCTATTTCCGACCGCGTCGTGCTGCTGAGCTCATTCATCAGAATAAAGTGTTGAATTTCTGGAAGGATTACTCGAAGAAAAATAATCGACCATCGTATAACAGCTGGATGACGCCCACAGCGCTAGCAAACAATTTATCGAGTCCCAGTTCGGCGACCTGGCAACCAATACCAAATTCTGCCGCATTGAAATCGATACGAAACGGTAATGTGATAGATCATGAGAGAAAGAGGTTAGATGACGTAATGAATAAACCCTATTACGGCGTACGACCAACTTCAAATGTTTCTCTCGCCCCAAACACTTGTAACATGTATAAACCACTAAATTATCTACATTATTTTAATGAGACAGGCGATCGAACGCTCCACTCACTAAGGAAACCCATCACACCGGCACCATTCTTACGTGACGATGTCATCTGAATTGGCATCCCTCTTTGAATTGGCATGAATCTGAATCTTTATCCCTGAATTGGCTTAAATCTTCAGACAAAAGGCTGCAAATCTGTGGTTACACACATCTCTATCTCCTTAGGTTTTCATGCACTTCGTGATTTTCCCGAATAACTGCTACAGGACACTTGACTCTAACATACTCAATCAACTATCTCAAAACTATGTCTATTACTTTTCGAACAATTTTTGTATTTCTAAGACTTTATCATTGACACATTTCGAATGAACGAAAGCATCAGAGCTTTACGTTTAGCTTTAAATACCAAAAATTAGGCGTGAACTTATTCGCTTATTTTCCTGAAAAAAAAGAAAAACTAAAAATTGTTACATTTTAAATTGTCTATTAATGTTGATGTTCAAATGATTTAAATATTTTGGCCAAGAAACGAAAAACAAAGAAAAATATATATGCAGAAAATTACTCTTTTGATGCGTTTCATTTCATTTTCAATCTTAAAAGGAAATTTCGGTTAAATTCAACTCTTTTCCCTGTTTTAAATAACGAAATCTGAAAAAAAACAGTTTCAAGTTTCCCACTTAAACGTTCGTTGCAACCGTTTAACCGTTTAACCGTTTGTTTAACTTCCAGGTTGACCACCTCAAAAAACAACGGCGCTGCTTAGTAATGTCAATGTATATGTATAATATTAACTGTGTATAGAACTTTCTGGATGTGTTTGTATGAAGTTAATATTAGTGTCAGTGATCAAGCGGAGTGACGCATAACAAAGCCGTTGAGATCATTCATCTATTCAGAAACAATATATAATTTGTTTAACTAGTTTAAAAATAAATTAATTAAATATGACCGAAAGGAAGTGTGCTGTACTGCAGCATCAAAGAACATTAAAAATATATTCACCTGTTGAGAATAGATACATAATTCGAGGGCAGTGTCAAGGTATAACTTCATTATAATATTCATTGAAGAAAATGCTGAATGAAATGTTCGAATTGCTGCTTAATGTATGCTCATGAAACTCTAAGTGATGCTAGAACGTTTCTCTTTATATTGCCGAATATGAGTTCTTCTTTTTATTTCAGTTTCTCTTTTTTATAATGGTTATTTTGGTCCACAAAGGCATAAAATAGAAAATAGGTTCTACCAGACAATACAATCGTAATTGTTATATATCGATTTTACATACATCTATACAAATTTTGGAAAATCTATCATTACCTTGTGGACGTTGGTTCAACAAATGTGGACCAAAATTACATGCAAGTGAAATACATGCCACCAGCGAGCAAGTGATTTGGTCCCATGCAAGTGAAATTTTCGGCAAAAGTACTTGTATTGAACCTGTTTCAACCCGAAAATATGTTTCAAAACTACTCTAATTGCAAGTGCTTTACTTGCATTGTCTGACAAGACCTTGAGTTGAATTCATTGGATCAATATATTTATATTGTATAATTTGATAGTATATAGGCCATTTCTTTTGTGGTATCTTCACCAACCGAGGCATGCATTTTCTACCGATTTCGCTAAAATTTTGCGGATAAACTTTGTATCGCCGAAAACTTTCAAAATCACAATATCCTGCAATATGAACTTCCCCTTATTTTTGCTAAAATGTCGGCCACTCAACATTTTTTGAAAAATGGAAAAATCCCTTTTTCATTGTTTTTTTCACCGTATTTTACTGATGCAGTATAAAAAGTGTAACACAAACCTGTTGTTATATACAATTGTGTCGATAATTACTGTCAGCTGTTCATTTATAAAAGCGATCAACTAAATGACACGGGATCTTCTATATTACCTGCTACTTATTCAATTTCGATGAAATTTAGCAGAATCTAATTCAAGTTTAAAAAAAACTTATCACAAATAGAAATTAATGAATGAAAATCCTTGAAAGAATATTTTATACTTAATATTTTTTAAACTTATTGAATAATTTGATTATAGATCATTTAAAAAATGGCGTGGTTATATATTCGGGAAATTACAAACTCACTGGCGAACCATTGCGCATTACACACTTCAAGCTAAGTAAAAAATTCTTTAAACCAAAATGCACATTAAAATGTCGAAACGGAGGGAAAAATGAATGCCTGAGTCAAAATCCATCAGATGTGGCAGATGGTATCAAGGAAGAAATGAATTGTTTCAGCATCTTAACAAATGGAAATCTTCTTGGATATAAAAGCGTAATTATAAATGATCTTAACATTTATATAATTCAAGAGGTCAACAAAAAGTCAACAAGTGCCAATAGTATCAGTAAAACTATCAGATGGACATATGAGGCTATTGGAAATGCTATTGCGTCCATAGTTAAGGCCATACACTATTTACATCAAAATAATATAGCACATGGTCATCTTAAAACTTCATCAGTCTTCGTCACGGAGCAAAATGTGTGGAAAGTTGCAGACTACTTTTTGGTTCCGTATCTCCATTATCTGTCAAACAAAACAAACACTTCTTGTTTCGTCCCAAATAAGAGTGGTGATTTAAAAGCGATTGCTCAATTGATTGCATCATTTGATATTCAATCGGGTGCTCTGAATGATTTTGTTAGATTATGCAAAACGTCGATTGATATTAAAACAATTATAAATGATCCACTGTTCGAGAAAATTTCGAAATTTTCACGCTTGGAAGCTGAATTTGAAATCGAGAGCTATTTAGAAGAAGGCGCTTTTGGCGATGTCCTCAAAGTGAAAAGCTATACTGACAACAGAGAATATGCTATTAAACGGGTCAAACTGCAAACAAAAAATTCTAGTGAGTTTAATAAGGCAAAAAAAGAGGCACGATCATTATCCAAATTGAAGCATTCAAACATTGTGCAGTACCACACCAGCTGGACGGAATCAGTTGATGAGTCCGTATTTAACAGCTACAAACCTTCCAATGGCAACTATATGGATGTTGCGTATGTATAATTTATATGTATTGATTATTATTTTCAAAAGTTAGATAAACAATAATAAACAAAGTTTTATGGATATTTCCAGCGGTTTTGGCCACAATAACATTGTCAACATTGGCTACCAGACTGTGGGTGTTCTCTATATTCAGATGGAACTGTGCGATATTAAAGACCTAAGGTATTTGAATTCAACATTGAAAAAAGCGAAAAATATTCTCTCATTTCTCGTCGTTACAGTTATCTTATTGAGGAGAGAAATCTTCGCGGTAATGCTGAACGCTTGATTCGTTATTCGAAGCAAATCTTAGAAGGTTTATGCTATATGCACTCAAAAAAATTGATTCATTGTGACCTTAAACCAGACAACATTCTTTTGAATGATGACCAAATTAAAATCAGCGACTTTGGACTGACATCAACAACAAGATCGGTTTTGGAGCGATATCGTAGTGGCAATACATCATCGATTCATATTGCACCAGAATTTTTGACTAATAATACACGTACTCAAAATGGAGACATGTATTCATTTGGAATCGTACTTTTTGAAATGTGTTTTGGCCCATTCCAAAATAACAACGAACGACTTGAAATGTTAAAAATGATAGAAGAAGACAACCCAATACCACATAAATACATACATCATAGCATTTATCACGTATTGATTGAGGTAAAATTTCAAGGAATGTAAACAGAGTGCAGTTTGAATAACACGATTTTCATTCATTTTCAGATAATGAGGGCAGTTTTAATTGAAGATGCAAGAAAACGTCTACCAGCAAAAACGATTTTGCAAAAATTGAAACAACTAGAATGTTCAGATTGGTATTTGCGTCCACCGCTGACTGATGATAAATGCTGAAAAACACGTTTAATTTCGCTTAACACTTTTCAAATCAAATCTATCTTTTTTTCTATCCATAATTGAAGTTAGAAAATAATGTGTTTCACATGAAATTGTATGTAAGCTATCTATGAAGCATATGTTCAAACTATTAAATACTTCGACCAAGAAACGAAAAACAATGAGCAAGAAGTTACGCTTCCAATTTGTTTCATTTCATTTTCATTTCTTAAAGAAATTTTCGGTTAAATTCAACACTTTTTCCATTTGTAAATAACAAAAACTAAAAACATCTTCGCACCTTCCACCAGAACATTCGTTACAATTTAACTTCCAGACTGGCCACCGCAAAAAACAGTGGCGCTGCATGGAAATGTCAACGATATTTGTTTATGGTAAACCAAACAAACAGTTTGTTTTGATCATCGCTTTTAAAATCAAAGTGTCACTCAACGATTCCAAAATATTCCAAAATATCCATATTCCGTATATAATTCTATTCCCGCACTAAAATGTCCATAACGGTGGAGCCAGCGAAAATTCTTCAGCTAATAAACAGCATGGGATATAAAAATGTATCAGCGACCGAACTAAAAGAGTTCACCAAGGGTAAATATTCAGTGAAATAAATTGATTTGATGCATATTTAATGCGGTGATTCTGATTTCAGATGTAAAACGGTTGATGAAATACGAGCAACGACAGAAAGTTTCTAGCACTGGAAATGTGCCAAGAGTCAGTCCACAAGTGATACAACATGCACCTGAGAATGTGATAAATGTCACGATAATAAAGGAAGCCACCCCAAAGAAAAGCGATCCAGCGCCTACTGTGCGTGTGTCAAAGTCCGTTGGAAAAAGTGATGTCCCATCCCAAACCGACATACCCGAAAAAGATATCGAAGAGCCGGTCAAACAGAAAAAAAGGTTGTTGCGTTTGCCACGACATGGCAGAACGAAAAATCCAAAAGTCATCTATAAGAAGGGAATTGGCTGCGGTGTGAAGAATGGTGTCCTCATTCGAAATACACCAACCGATTTGTATCAGAAATATCAAGATGATTGGATCAAATTTAAATCGTACATTCCGGGCGAGAACAGCCGAATGAATGTACGCCGAAGAATTCGAAAGAAAATGCAACAGAAAGAGGATGATAATGCAAAGGTAAGAGACTCAATTTGAATGAACCAGTTTTGCTTTTATGCCAATGACACTGATCACGGGTTTAATGTGGATGACATTTGAAATTTAACGAATTTTTGTTTCCATTCAAATGTCGTCATCATGACTTGTCGGTTGCAAAATAATGAAATTAACGACCTTTTGTTCTTTTTCTGCAGGTTTATGTCCATTTTCCCGATGAAACTGGAGACCATTAGCCACTATAAGTTACTTCTTCAAATGACTTCTACGGATGTATCCATGTGAACTATATTTCATTGTCCCTTCCATGCAAGGGAACAATTCATTGTCACTCCCATTTCATCATCTAACTACTTCTGCCTCTTTAATAAACAATTCCAGTACAAACACAAGGAGATTCTCTGTTATGAATTTACGATAATTTTTTTAATTTTAATGATTCGATCGAGTATGTTTGTGACATGTAGCCATGCTGTCAATACAATTTTTTTTATGATGAATAAAATTGTTTCTAACTACTTATTTTGACACATTTAAATTGAATTTGATTCTTTCTAACAAAAATGTTCTGAATAATTCAGTAATGAGTTATAAATCTTGTTACTAGGCCACTGGGCTGTGAAAGAAATCCCTATGCGTAATTGAATGTCTAATGGAATTTGAACAGGAACTAATTTCTACCAGCCAAAGAACAGATCGATGGCTTTGTTGACGATGCCAGAGCTTCTGCTTGGTGTTGTTGGTGTTCCTGTGATGTCAGTTGCACTTTGAGCGGTTTTGTAGCTGACTTGTGCCAATGGTCGGGCTCGACTGATCGAAATGCTGTAATAAAACCATGAATTATCCACCAGTTATGATACAATTTTACGTTCAATACAAATTCTCAGTCAATGTTCAAGAAAATCTTACTTATTCCGCTCGAGATTTTCCTTGTCCACGATGTTTGGATCTTTGCAGTAGGTCACGCCAATCATAAGGCTATTTGCTAGAATTCGTTCGTGGTAGTTCAGTGCTTTTTCACATTCCAAGCTTGATGCAAAGCGTAAGTGAACCCAGTTGCCGGATTGTGGTGGGAATACTTTTTCCAGAATCGTTCCACACTGTGCAAAGTGTGTTAGGATCATGGATGTGGCGGCCGGTGAAAATCCATATACTGTGATCCAATGCTTGGTCGGACGACTTGATGTTGGCGATAAGCAATTCACTGACATTGAACTATTGCGATAGTCGTATGACTGATCCAATGGCGATGTTATTCTGTTGCGGAAAGAAGAAAACAAACGAAATTTCAGTTGAATTGTCGAAATTGCGATCGAGAAACATGGTTCGATTCCAATTGGTTCGTGAACCATTGACTCGAATCGATGTAGCCCTTACCTTGACATATTGCCATTGAAATTGCTCTGATTCAAGTATGAATCGCATACGGACTGATTCAATGCGAACGATTGATTCGGTTGTCGTTGTCCAATTGCATGTTTTTGGCTGTATGAATTGTCGATAACTGAATTCTGTTCCATCCTCATTGAATCGAACAAACTCTGAAGAGAAAAAATTGATTTTATCAGTCATTCAGAAAAAGTATCATTCATTGGGCATTGAATGAAGATCATTGTCCAAAGACAATGAATTCTTTTATTCGTATCAACAAACGATGATATGATTCCAACATATTTACCTGTGTCGGTGGCCCCGATGCAGTTGCATTGTGACTCAATGGAGGTGCGTTGCCAAAATTGTGATGAGGCGGTGTCGTTTGATTATTTGAACCGAACAAACTTCGATGCGGTATCATCGACCGATTGAAATCAGCCGTTGAGCTGACTGGTGAGGTCGGTGATGACGCAGCTGGAGGAAACAATGAATCAATTGAAAATAAGCGATCAAATCGGTCGAAAGAACAATTCCAAGAATACTTACCGAATGCTAAAGTGCGTCCTTTGGTCGGTGATAGTGTATTTGTTCGTGGTGCAATCATTGTGTTCGGCTCGCCCATCAAATATGACGGCAAAAAATTGCTGGTGTTGGCTGCTGAAGGGCTCGATGGGCTTCCAAGTGTCATTGGTTCCATTGTGATTAATTGTCTGTCGATTGTATGCAATGAATTTCATTAGATGATGCAATGAACATAACCCAACATTTGATAAAAAAAAAAGTAATATCTACTGAAAAAATGTATGTTGCCCAAGAAATACCTTTGTAAAACCTGGAAATTCGACACAATTCAAAACAAATATAAGAAATCGTTCTCTAGAACGTTACCGTAACGTGAAAACTATGTACAAATTCGTTATTAACTAGATAACGATACCAAATTCCGCCACTAAAGCTATACGTTTTTACAGTATGATGATATTTAAACTGTGTTTGTCAAATGTCATCGCCAAGACCGAGTGTTGTCATTGCATAAGTGTCAAATGTGATTGTAAATCGGTTCAGTTTACGATTGAGTTGCATTTTCCTGAATATTGTTTTGGGTTTATTCGAATTTTTCATGAACTTTAAGTTACGATTCAAAAAATATGCTACGGTATTGATGCGAAATAGACATTTTTTCTATCCAAATGGAAGATTTCAACAAATTCAGAAGAAAAAACTGAATTTCATTGAACAAAATCACAATCTCCAATAGATTTTTTCTAAACCGATTAAATCGATGTTCAAAATTGAAACCGATTGATTTCCACACATCGATCTCAGACGAATTATCATCTTCTTCGACACATTCTGAAAAAATATATCTCAAATGCGTGAAACTTTTTTCTCAACGGAGTCCGTTGAACGAAAATAATTCAAATTTCGTTTTATTCATTCACCTATTTTTTTCATGGACAGTGTTGCCATCGTCGTACAAACATCAGTTCAGTTTGTGATTTGATTGATGCAAACAGCAGCTGCATTTTGCATTGTTTTCTTAAACATTTAACGTTCGAAAGAACAATAGCAAAATTTGGCTCAATTTTGTGTGCTAGTTTCTAAAAACCACGTGCATATAAACTAGAAAAAAAAAATCAAATCACCCAACACGTAAATTCGGCAAATTTCAACATAAAATCAATCGATTTAAACAGGAAATTGTGTGTGATTCAGCCCTGCATGCTATATTGACACTATGAGCAAAGTGTTTGCGACTGATAAACACAATATAAACACACTGACAAAACGCTCACGCATTTTTTTCATATGATTTGCATGAATTGAGCGCTTCAACCAGCAACCGAGTATCAATAGACGAACGGATTGTCAATTGTGCCAAAGTGAATGCCAGTGCAGAAAGTGAGAGTCGTTGTTTTTGTGTGTGGTATACCACATCGGAGTTGACAGAAGGTGTCTTTTTTTCCTGTTTCGCGCAAATAATGTGCTGAGATAGAGAGAAAGAGCGCGCGCGGGTTTTTGTGCAGCCAATTTGTGTTTCATCATTCTCTCGTTCTGTGTTTTGTTTTTGCGATTTGTCTGCTGCTTCTGCTGCTGCTACCGCCGTTGCTCTCTCGCACCGTGTGTTGTGAATAATTTTACGGTGCATTCGTTTTGTGCTTAGATGCTCATCAACATTTATAGCCCATACACACCATCGGATATTTAGTTCATTCGGTAAATTAATATGGTTTGCATGTGCGTGCTGTTGTGTGTGGTAGAATACTATATCAGTTGGGCGCGCGCCTAACGAACAAAAAACAAACTTGTACATTCTTTGTGTGCGGTTGTGTTCGCTACGATCCGATAAATTCGAATTTTATTTGCCAGAATTGTTTTTCGTTTGTGTTAGAACCGAAGTTGAATGTTCGATATTGGAAGTCATAAATGCAAATTCAGTAAATCTGTGGCGACAACGAAGCAGCGAAGGGAAAAAAAACAGTCAATCACGCATATATTTTTTTTCTTGTGGTTGTTCGATGTCACCAATATGTCAAAGTACAAGCAAAGCAATTGATATTACCAGTTGAACTCAGTGTCATTAAAAACGAGTGAAAGGAATAACGTGAATATTTAGCTAGATATTTAGTGTGTGTTTTCTTGGCCGAAGACAATTAAGTCATTAGAGACAATAAAGAGACCAACCAAAAATAGCAAATCTCCAGTGTCAGCGTGCTCATGTGATCGAACAGCTTGTTTATTGTTTCAAAACAAAGTCGAGTGGTTGTTGGTGGTTGCGGAGGTGTTTGTTGCGCAGTAATTCAATGTTTTTTTTCGTTAAAAGGCATTCGATTCAGTTTGTTAGTGTCTCCATACGCCTGCATATAGTTTAACCATTCACAAGACGCCGTTACATTTTAAAAACACATCATATTTTGTACAGAAAAATTAATCAATCATTGTATCCAAGAAGAACATTTTAGTCGTTAGATCTACGTCTATGTGTGTATATATTGTCTAAATTGTGTAGAAATCCCATTGAAGAAAAAAACAAAATGTGATTCTAATTGTGTTCCGTGAATCATCTAATTGTTTTACAATCACAGTTGAACGTTTTTTTTTCATCGCTGTTTTGCTCATACAATGCCAATGTGTTCATGTTCAAAATTGTGCATGCAATCCAGTTTGTAGCTAGTAAATGCAATTCGTTCATAAAATATTCATTCGCTTGAGGCATTTATCCATTCAACTAGCAGTCAAGTTGTGTGCCAATAAAACGAAGCACACACAAATATGCAATTATCTCTCAGTAAATAGCGAACAAAAAAATTATCATAATCGCCACCGCTCGCACATAAGCTCAACCATTGAATCACACATTCGCGTATACACACATATTTTCTGTACTGAATCACATTTACCGCACGGCGTTCGTCTCAGTTGGAACGAAATTTGACGAAAAAAAACAATTCTCTATAATCATGGTATGTACACCTAGCGAACATTTATTTGAATGCACACAAATGATAATAATGAATGAATGAACAACAAAAATGGCAATTGTAGTTTTAAATGCAACCGACAAAGGGATTTAACAGTTTAATTGCTACACTATCAAGGCACGGAATACCGTTCGTCTAAACATTATAAATGCTTACACGATTTCTGTATTTTAATTAACATTGTTGCTCTGCTCTGCTCTTCTTCTTCATTCCATTTTCTTTCTTTTTCAACATATTCCATTTCCAATATAATTCATTCCATTATCACGTCATCTGAATGACGATTTCGTTGTGTTCGTACTTGCTCATTATAACATATATAGATTAAGAATAATGTTTTTGTAGTGAAACAACACATAATTGCGTGTTAAAATTAGCAACTGTTATCGCATCAGTGTATTGTAGCGCCATATTTGGGCGCTATTTGTCTATATATTTTATCGCTTTATTTTTTTTTTGTTCAAGTGCTCATTGACGAGATAACAAACCATTCGCTTCGATGCACATTGCACATAGACAACTTTTGTTCCATTCATTCGACTCGTTTAATTTTACGGAGCTTTCATATAAGAAAAAAATAATTAAGTTTTCAGTCTTTAATTCCCTGGGTTTCATTGACAGAGTACATCACAGATTCTAACCAGAGGTGCAACACAACGGTCAAAAATCCAAACGAGAGCCATGGTCAACAAAGATCTTCAGAATAAGCAACAAGCTCAAGCTAACAATATTAGTGCGGCAGCAACAACGGCAGAAGGCAATGGCAAAAAATCCCAAATTACACTCAACGAGGCCAAGAAAAAAGCACGGAATTCCGCGACAAAGTCAACACACGAAACATTAGTCAAAGATATTTACCAAAATGTGAGTAATGTGTTGGAATTTTGCGGATATTATCTGCATTTTGTTTATTTCCATGTAATTGAATCGGAATCATTGGTTTTTCTTTTTGTTCAAATGAAATCTTTAGGTTTTTTTTCATTGTGCATTTTTCAATTTTCTCTTCGAAACAGGCGCTGAGTTCACTGCGAACCAAACGAGGTAAAACTGGTTTAGTTTATGACAGAAGGATGGCTCAACACTGTTGTCTATGGGACAATGGCTATCCAGAGAGTCCAGAGAGATTCACTCGTGTTCTAGAAAGGTAATTTCAATGAAGCACCCAGTTAACGATATTCACTTAATGTCGTTTTAACGGTGCAGAGGTAATAAAATTTTTCCGCCAACCGTATTCACTAGACCCACAATGAAGATGTGATCTATAATTAAATTTACGCTCCGATTAGTCATGTAAAGCATACGGTCTACCGCTCTGTCACTAAAATTTCATGTTTTCAAAGCCAACGCAATTTTTCTATTAAATATCGTGCTGCGTTTATTGTGTAATTTATTCATGTGTGTCATTTTAAGTCGATTGTCAATTCGAATGGGTCACTTTATCAGTCAAGCGGAACGAATTCAAAATTAACTACACACTTTTTTCTATGTTTCAATTGGCTTGATCAAATGCTTGTTTATCAATTAGATGCGAGGAATTACACTTGATTGATCGCTGCCATCCGATAGAATCCCGTCCAGGAACGCTAGATGAAATTTTGATGAAACATACTCAGGAACAATATGATATTTTGAAAGCCACTGAAAACGAAACCGACGAATCAAAACTCGAGGAACTCAGCTCGCATTACGATGCAATTTATATTCATCCGGTGGGTTTTTTCCCTTCTTAAATTTGATAGGAGCATTTTAACCATTTTTTGGATTGACTTTTGGGTGAAAGAAAAGAAAACAATGTGAAATTCTCATTTTTTAAATTCATTTGATAAATTGAAATGCAATTTGCTATGCAATATTATCATAAAAATGACATAATAACATGTGAATAATAAAGCAACATTCATTTTTTTCTTCTCTGGTCAAACATTTCGATGTGCAGACAACATTTCAACTTTCCAAATTGGCAGTTGGCAGTACCATCGAATTGGTTGACAGCATTCTGCGGAACGATGTTCAAAATGGAATGGCTATCATTCGGCCACCGGGTCATCATGCAATGAAAGCCGAATACAACGGTTACTGTTTCTTCAATAATGTGGCAATTGCAGCACAGCACGCGCTTGTTAATCGTGGTGTAAGTAAATAATTATTTACTCATTCGATTTTTCGAATGAACAAAGGCTATATTTAAACAAACGAACCATAGTTTTTTTTCTTTCATTGAAAATATTGCATAATCCAACTGATTTCTTGTCGTTTTACAGATAAACCGAATCTTAATCGTTGATTATGATGTGCATCATGGTCAGGGCACACAGCGAATGTTCTACGATGATCCACGAGTTTTGTATTTCTCAATTCATCGATATGAACATGGAACGTTCTGGCCAAATCTACGTGAATCGGATTTTGATTGCATTGGAGTGGGCAGTGGACTTGGGTACAATTTTAATCTACCCTTGAATAAAACTGGCATGACAAACGCCGACTATCTGGCGATTTGGCAACAAATCCTATTGCCAGTCGCTGCAGAGGTAATGATTTCTCATGCTTTCCATCGATACCATCTTTTCTGAATTTCATTCATTTGCTATCCACACAGTATCAACCGAATCTCGTCATCATATCAGCCGGCTATGATGCCGCCTTTGGCTGCCCAGAGGTATTAATGTGTTTCTCTTTAATTTTTTTTCGCACATTTCACTTTAGTATGCACCAAATTTAATTATTCTGTCGGCTGGCTATGATTCGGCTTTAGGCGATGAAAAGGTATTGAACAACCATACAGTTGCGCTTGGATGTTGAATCATAATCATGCTTTCTATTCGAAATTCTGCTACTGTTCAATTGAGCTTATGTTTTGTTCTTGCTGCAGGGTGAAATGGAAATTACACCAGCTTGTTATGCTCATTTAGTGTCACCATTGATGGCAATAGCCCAGGGTCGTGTGGCAGTTGTTTTAGAAGGAGGATACTGTTTAGATTCATTAGCTGAAGGTGCAGCCATTACGTTGAAAACAATTTTGGGTGATCCATGCCCATTGCTTGGGCCATTAGCTGAGCCAAGCGAAAGGTGAGATATCTTGTCCAATCGAAATTTAAAGTTTACTTTCAAGACACGATCGATAATCCAAATCCCTTTCAAAATTTTAGCATCGTGGAGAGCATTTTGAACTGCATTCACAGCCACCGAAACTACTGGAAATGCCTACAAATGCACAAAACCTACGAATTGGAGGAGCTTAAAAGCAATAGGGCGAAAGATTTGCATTTGGTGGAGCAAAAGTTCATTGGAAGTGGTGAACCAATTCCAGAGCGCTTTGAGACACGCAACTGCTACCCAGTACACAATTCGGAGCGGCTGAGACAGATTGCAACACGTTTGCAACGCTTGAAAATTACCACAAATCTATCGGCAGCTCCGAATCGAGTATGCTATGTGTACGATTCACAAATGGCCGAACATCGCAATCTTTTCGAAGAGTAAGCAGTTTTGCCTTGAGATTTAAATTTAGAATAAAAGAAATGAAGATTTCATTTCCTTGAAATGTTCCAATTTACTTATTCCGAATTGAAATTGATCTTCGCGTTTTCAGACATTACGAACGACCGGAACGGATTACAAAAATCAAGGAAACGTTCGCAGAATACAACCTGCTTGACCGAATGCACGGCTTAAAATCGCGTGAAGCATCAACGGAAGAGCTGTGTCTAATCCATACGTATACTCATGTGAAAAATATGCGCAAAATATCGATACAGAACAAAAATATGCAGGAAATCGGTGATAAGTACAATTCAATCTATTTCCACGAAACAACATTCAAATGCGCAACAATGGCTGTTGGATCAGTACTCGAAGTGGTCGACAATGTGCTCAATGGCAACTATCAGAAAGGCCTATGTGTCGTTCGGCCGCCAGGTCATCATGCCGAAGCGGAATTTCCTCATGGATTCTGCATATTTAACAATGTCGCATTGGCTGCTAAGTACGCCATCAAATTTCAAGGGCTCAAGAGGTGAGAAGGGATCAATTTTTATTTTAATAGCATGTGCCAAAGCATATACTCAATCTAATCAATTCTACGATCAATGAATAAGCATGAAAAAAAAACTTCAAATCTGAAGATTCTCAACCGAATTTTTAATTAAATTGTCAAATTTTTGCTATTTTTCAGAGTTTTGATAATCGACTGGGACATTCACCACGGAAACGGTACACAGAGAATGTTCGAAAATGAAGATAAGGTGCTTTACATCTCCTTGCATAGGTACGAAAATGGGGATTTTTTCCCCAAATCGACTGACGGAGATTATATGATGGTTGGTGAAGGCCGAGGAGAAGGTTTCAATGTGAACATACCGTGGAACAAGCACAAAATGGGTGATAGTGACTATATTGCAGCATTTCAGCGCATAATCATGCCAATCGCATACGAATTCAATCCCGAACTGGTATTAGTTTCGGCTGGATTTGATGCTGTTGTCGGAGATCCAATCGGGCATTACCATGTAACACCCGAAGCATATGGCTATTTCACGCATTGGCTATCGTCATTGGCAAACGGAAAGATAGTCCTTTGCCTAGAGGGTGGATACAATGTCAATTCCATTTCACATGCGATGACAATGTGCACAAAGGCATTGCTGGGCGATCCGCTGCCAATGTTACATACGACAGGAAAAGCTCCAAGCGCCAGTTGCATGGAAACCATTCAGAATGTGTGTTCAGTCCATCGAAAATATTGGAAGTCACTACGATTTGATAAGAAATTGCCTGCGTATGACTCACCAAGCAAAGATAACACAATCGACGAAGTAGTCAAACAACTGGATACATTGACTTGTTCTGATGAGAGTAGCTCGAATCCTTCTAGCAGCAAGCAACTCGAACCACAACCAGGCCCGTCTACCTCAGCTTCGGGTTCTTCAGGTGACAAGAAGCAAACGCTTACCGAATATTTGAAAGAAAATCGTGATGCTTTGCTGAACGAAGACATGTTTGCCGTAGTACCTCTCAGTGATTGCCCACATTTAGCTACACTTGATCCAGATTCAGCACCCGAAGGTATATTTGAAGAACGATTAAATCGATAAATTATATGTTTTTATTGCGGGGATTTCGTAATCGACAAAAATGACTAAATTCAAAAGAATTTCGAATTTGTTGACCAAAATGTAAAAACAATTGATTAAAATGTCAGTTGGTGACGTAAAATGTGAAAGATTTCATCAAAACTTCATTCCATTAATCAAAATAGTATAGTATTCTGAGAATTTCTCCCTAAAAATGTACATTCTTGACTCATTACAGCGTTCGATACAAAGTCGTCGTGTCAAAATTGTGACACAGTCATCGAGAATTGGGTGTGTTTGTTGTGTTTCAAGACCTGTTGCAGTCGATACATCCAGGAGCACATGCTATTCCATCACATTGAAACGGAACATGCACTTGCGTTGAGCTACAGTGACCTGTCCGTTTGGTGTTTCAAGTGCGAAAATTACATCGACAATCCAATCCTGTACAAGTACAAAAATCTGGCACATCGTAATAAATTCGGCGAAGATATGGTTTGGTGCTATGATCCAAATCCCATTCTATTGGACACCATCGCATCATCGTCCTGATGAAATTCCATGCGAAAGTCGTTGATTTTCCCAAATTTAAAATAAAATTTGCTTAGAGGCGCCAAAATTAATTTGTCCTCTGCTCAAAACAGGCATACATCGGTACCTTAATCAAGGATTCAAGCAATCAATATAGAAAACATTAACCGAATTAACCAAAGATAACCTTTTTCCGACCATTGTTGTTTGAATCCTCGTTCATTATCCAAAAACAAAACAAAAAAATGCATAAAAAGTATTCAATGAGCCAAATTTACCCTAACGAACAATGTTATTTTCGCTATGTATATTATCTTTTTGTAGAAAATGACAAATAATTTTTAGAACAATGTTTAACAAGATCAAATATTGTAGAAAAAAAGAGGAAATATTTTGCATAGTGTTGTTGTAGGAGAAAATTGTTAGAATTAAATTAAATTATTTATCAAACTAACGCAAAATCAAATGAACAAGAAAATGAATTAACAAAAAGATTTAATTGTAAAAATATGGGAGAAATAAAAATCCAAAACAATGATTTGCTTTAATCATCCGAACAAAGAGCCCAATAAAATCGAGAATGTTAACCAAAAATAGGCATTTCAATGGTATATTTCAAAAACGGATACGCGATTTCTTATCGAAGAACCATTTTTGGCGTGTGTCGAAAAATTTCACACAATTTCTAGGGATTGAAATTCTTTGAAAAACAAAAATAAACAAAACCAGGAATTGAGTGAGGGAAAAAAAAACTGAGTTAAATTGTGTAAAATAGGACTCGTTTCGCGGTAATTAACTTATTCATTCATTCATAAAATAAAAACAAAGTTTGGACGAATATACACAATCCCGAATGGTAAAATATTTCATTTTTATTTAATTCATATCACATGCATGAGATATAGATAAGTCTTTATCGCAAAAGAAAAATTCCCCATGATATAAAAAACGGCGGCGATAATATCATCATAAAAAACATTTTGTTTTCATATTTGCTAATCTTCTTACACTTGAATTCATAAATGAAACGGGAGACAGGAATTTCCCTTCCGGAAATTTCTCTTCTGGATTATTCATAAAATTATTATCGTTCTGAAACAATACAAAGGTCTGTACACTGTACTGAGGCAAGCCAGCATATATAACGACTTTAAACTGAATGCTCTCGTTTATTTGCAATTGAATATCATCATAAATATGGATCATTGCATGTTTAAAATGAAAACCATATGCAATAAACAACTGATTCTTGTGACGATAAGTGAATTTTATTGGAATTTGTTTGTGCATGGGTTACGTTATATTTAAAACATTTTATTTTTCAATTACAGTTCACAAAATTTGTATGAAACATACAAATTCATGGAGAAGCTGTTAGGCCTATTCCAGACTTGATTTATTTTTAATTGGTTTTTCAATCGCAAACACAATTCACCGTAAATTATCGGCCCAAAAACTTTGATTACGTTTTCTTGTGAAAATACTTATCAAAATCTTATGACATACAATTATTTCGAAATGGTATTGTTTTAAAAAAAAAATTCCGAACTTCGGTATGATGCCGAAATTGTATTTATCATGCGTAATTTCTGCTTCGGTTCCAAATTTAGAAATATTGTTATCATCCTGAAACCCTGTATTATGATGAAGAAAAAAAATTCATCTCCGTATCGCAATTTCTACAAAATGTCCCTTCGATTCCAGTAAATTGACTACATCATACAGTTGCTCATTCATACACTTTCACTCTGAATTATTTATATTCTCTGGTCATTGCATGGGATGTTCCGTGAATTGATAACACCCCTCCCTATTTTTACAATATCAATTTAGGTTTTTTCTGTGTTGCAAACCGAATCAAGATTGCACCGACCATTTACTCGCAATAAATAATGTGACAAGGTCCCGGACAGCACACAGTCTATCATTGAATCTAGTTAAATTTAGATATAATTGATGCAGAGAATTTGCGTATGTAATTATTTTAATTTGGTTTTCTATCGTTATTTAATAGTTTAGAATGGGAACACACTCGAAAGGTTATTAAATGACTGGGAAAACCCTCGACTACAACCACCTGTTGTCGTTGTTTGTTTGCACACCTTTTCAAAACACCGTACAGATAAACTTGAAGAGTTTTTTTTTTCGTTGATATCGTCGCTCATACAATAAAAGAATACGCAATTCTTTCAAGTCATTTCATTCGTTAAGGTTTCATTTAAAATCGACTCATTCCAAGTGTGAATCCATTTTCATTGGAATACCAAAGACCAATTGCATAGAGATAATGAAATGAGTGTGCGTAATTTCCAATTCGTCAATACAGTTAGATTTCATATAACAGAGCTTGCGAACAAAGTCGACATATAGCAATAAAGAATTCAAGAAGTCAGTCGTCGGTTTTTGAATTCAATCAATGTAACGGAAAAATGGTGAAGAAAAAACCGACAAATCGTGTCAGTACGGAAAGTGAAGCGCGTGAAGTAATACGGTTGGTGGAATTAAATCGCCAAAAACCCAAGAGCCCCAAATAAGTGTATGTAATCCATTAAGAATTTTTTGTTCATTTCCTGTTCCCAAAACCACAACATTTCGCAGTCCGACAAATCGACTTTACCGAAACTGGAATCAAAAAGAAACCGAACTGTAGGAACGCGTGTATCTGCCTACATGTGTTAAATGTCACTGGTTTTTTTTCATTTACCAGGAATTTACGGATTTTTCTGTGGGATCAAAAAACCACAAAACAAAAGGTAAGCAATTCATCTCGCATGTTCAAGAATGATGCACACGCTCAAGCATTGTATTCAATTGAAAAAGTTTGCGAAAACGGTTATACGTCAAAGTCATTGAACTGTTGACTCTAGTTTTTTTTTACATTTTTTCATTGTTGCTGATAAATGTCGTCAATTAAGCTCATCAGATGAAAGATTTTTTTTTTGGTTTTCCCAGTTTTTTGTAATCTCAAAGTGTGTATCAACGAACGAAAACAAAAAAAAACTCATTAAAAAAGAAAGTTTTTTTTTAGTAGATGATGACATTAATTAGAACATGTTGTAAACGTTGTATGTGTATGTTCGGAATCGTGTGTGGCATTGAAAAAGCAGAGGAAAAAAAACCTAAACACTAGTATATTCCGAACAACTCAAGTATCTTTTCGATATTCTGTATGTTGATTAATTGATTTAAAAAACCCAACAATAATGTAATATAGTGTTTTTTTTTGTGAAATGTGTGAATGATTGGAGGATTGCACGTGAGTCGATTCGAATATCACGTCGTCAATATATTGGCACGAGCACATGAGGTGTAATATCGAAGAGAAACGGCGACAACAAATCAGAGAAGCAAAGCAAAGATTGAAAAACAGAAATGCGGCTGTTGCGACACACAGTGGGGGTATAATATGTGATTATTGTGTGCTGGTTTGGAGAGAGCACCGAAAAAACCCAAATTTAATTATGCCATATATAAATGAACCGTTCATTCATTTGTTGTAAATAAAACGAAGAAATAAAGAGGCAGAGAGAAAGAGAGAGAGAGAGAGAGAAAAAAACCAGCGAAGTTCAATAAATATAAGGATTTTCCCAATGGATAACAAAAGCAAATAAGAGACACAACAATTATGACACGAAGACCAAGAGAGAAAATAATAAACACATAACACACCACCAATCGTTCGGAAATTGTGATGTGTGAACGTATCATCTAGATAGAGAATCGGGAGCCAGTACTCAGACTTTATGTCGAGTCTCATTAAGTGGCATTTGTCTAGACTCTCACAACACTTTTGGCATCACAATTTAATAGACTTTGTTTTATATAACCATCGCCTAAAAATTTGATGTCTGTGTTGTTTTCCGTCTCGTCGGGATGAGGATTTGTAACTCTCAATATTTAAATATATTCAAAGAAAATATTCTATTTTTATGTGACGGATTTCACCAAACACCCGGTTTCTTTTGGTCTTTCCATTTTATCGTGTGTACACTTGTAATTAATATTAACTGCCAAAAAGAAAGAAACATTCTCTCTGTCTCTCTTACGAGACAAACGAAAGTCCGTCGAGCTAAAATTTATCATTAGCATCCATCGGTGGGATTGCCGTAATGATCGGTACCGAAAAAGTGAAAGATTGACAGTTCAACTACACCCGCAATGTACGTATAATATATAACAACAGTAAGAAAACCATATACAAGCCTCCACTCATTTACACAAACACACACTCGTGCACATACACAAACGAGTGGCTCACTCGTTTGTTTACCCATACGCGAGCACGTTACATACAATAACAATACACTCCCAACCGAACCGAACCGAACTCACGTTATCGTTTCGCTCTCACGTCAAAAGCCCAGCACACAACACAACATACATTAGCAGAGCACATTTTTATGGTCGTTAGTCGTGTTGCGTAGCTCAAACAAGTAATAGTCTCGTTGATCATTCGTCGTGCACACATTGTGTCTTTCGAGCAGGTCGTACTGAACAGAAATTTATTTTTTTTCTGTATCTTTTCAATTCCGCGCGATTTTTCCCTCTTTCGCCTCGTGGATACAAGTCAATTTACGTTCGTTCAACATCTTCATAGGCGTTTGGAAATGACCTGAAGTTGTGTATATTATTTGTGAAGAGAAAAAAATTTCAAACAAATTTCATTTTTTGTTGTGGAATTTTTTTTTTACTGTCTGTATAAAAGTATAAATAGATTAAAACAAACGCCATTTTGAATTAAAATTATGTGCTAGTGGTGAATTGCCAATTTGAAAAACAAATCCGAAAATAAAAGCGAGCAATTTTCAATTCAAGTAAAAAAAAAAAAATTCGATACGAATTTTTTTTCATTTGCGAAACAAACTAATTGAAAAAAAAAAAATAAATTGAAGAAAAACAAAACGTGTTGATTATGTTGGAGCAAGAAAACGATTTGTCGGTGGCGAGTGGCTTTGAGCGAAGCTCAAAAAATAAAGATTTTGATACGAATTCCGCATTGGATTCGGGCTTTCTATCTGGTCCACAGGCGATTTATTCTGGTGAAATAGACAGTGCATTGGACGACGATTCATCATTGGCGCTATCGCAATCATCGTCGTCGTTGAAAAAAGCGTCTGATAAGTGTAGCCAGCAAAAAATACAAATTGACACAAATATCGATTCGGGCTGTATCGTTGACTCCGCACAAATGATTTCGACGGGTGGTGTTGGTGAAGGCGGTCTACCTGACTGGTTCAACAATTTAAGTATTAAGGATTCACCATCGATCAACAATTTGGATGGTACCAAAGACAAATCGAACCAACAGTTGTCTCAACAGCAGCAGCAGCAGCAGCAACAACAAAAAAGCAGTATCGAGGCCAACCTTTGGAAGTTATGCTACCGACAAGATAGCGACGGTGATACGTAAGTATTCTCAAATTATACACACGGAACCATTTCATAGTAGAAATGAACAGAGACCGCTTTCGTTTGTATTGATAAGCGTTAACAGCAACAACAATAAAATCGAAAGAAGTCGTTTCGTGTTCGAGATTACACGGCAATATAAAAATCAGACAATCGTCAATTAATTAGCATTTCAATTTCCTTGTTTTTTTTCTCTCTCTCTCTCTTCGACAAAAAAAACGTATTCGCAAATACTATAGTCAGCTGCATCTCGCGATCATCAATGAAATTCCACACATAATCTGGGCCATTATTCGTCTAGCCCCAGCAGCCTGGCTATTGGACCAGAAGAACGATGATGCCCAAGCACCAATCCATTTAGCCGTACTCACCAGACAACCAAATGTCGTTCGACGCCTACTCGTGGCCGGAGCCAATGTACGTATTTAATTTCTGTATTTTCCATGATGATTCTATCAAATTGAAAATAATGATCTCACAGAAAATTCACCGTCACCCCAATACCGTCATTAATAAAACCAAGACGAGTGTGTCTCTATTTTAAACACGGTGAATCTTCTCGTGTAGACGTTAAGACGCAGAGCAGCAGTCACAAGATATATATTAAAGATGATTGCTAATTTTGTTTTTTTTCTGTTGTCCCATCTCTTATTTGACTCATTAACACAGGCATCGATTCGAGACGGTGACGGCAATACCGCACTTCATTTGGCCTGCATCAATGGTGACATGACAACAGTTGAAGCTCTCTTAAAGCCAATCACGGCCGCTGAACTTAAAGAGTACAATCAATCGGCACATCAATTGCCACAATCGAATGCTAGCCGTCGACAGTTCTCGATTGATTTAGAACAAAGGAATTTTTATGGTAAGCGCAACTGGGCTTCAATATTATCACGCAATTACATTGATTTGGCCCGTAATTTCCCAACGTTTTGCTCTCTCTCTCTCTCTCTCTCTCTCTCTCTCTCTCTCTCTCTCTCTC